CCCTGTGCTAAAATAAAGATGGGACAATTGGTTCATCCACGAACCTCCGCCTGCGATAAGGACAACAGGAAAGAGATCAAGGCCTGCTTCTGCCTCACTCAGGTGGAATGCCAGGGCAAAGTAACATCTAAACTCAGCATTACTGACATTCCAAAGATTTCTTTTTTTCTAATCCGCATGACTTTGTATCATTCGTCTGCATTAAAGCTTTCGTTTCCATCTCTGGCGTTTGCTTAGAGTAGGGTGTGTTTGTGGCTTTGGCTGAGAGAATATCAAGGTTTTTAATCATCTGAAAATTGAGCAACGGCAGAGATCGGCCTATATCTGTTCCTGTCCCAGGGTACAGTCTGTTCTGTCCCAAGGCACAAGAGGCGGCACCTTTGCTGAAGCAAAGCAGGTCTGGGTCTGGTCAGTATATGGGTGGATGAACCTTGGGAGCAGCATGTATATGTCCTTGGGATCCATGAAAGAAGAAAGGAGGTATATAGAAATTTAGGGAAATAAATATATTATATGGCTGTCATTGCCACAATCAAGAAGGGACAGTGTCTGAAAAACTACAGATCTCATTTTCATAAACAGTCTGGATTACACCGCCTAACATTTTTGCTGCTTGTTTCTTCTGAAGGTTTATTTTAATGATTAAATGACCCAGAGAGTTTATAACGAAAGCTTAAGAGTTAAGCCAAAATTTCATGATATGTTTATTATGATGTCTGCATTTATCTATTCCATAGTTTCAATCAACAAACGGAACAAAGCCATTTGGATTTGTGCGTGCATACGTGTCTTTGTGTGTGCGCATGAAGGCCCTTCCTGATTTTTTTATGGCGAGCACAGGAATGGGAGATACGTTATGACTTGGGTTGTTTACAGAGCTTAAAGCAAAACCTCCGCCTGGTTCTCCGTTTGGTTCTCAAACTTAATCTGTTCCAGAAGTCCATTCCAAAACCTTAGACTAATCATATCACATGTTTTACTGTAGCATTGCTTTGAGAACTCATGAGCAAATTGCTGTTTAGTACAGTAGTACCTCTAGATACGAACGGGATCCGTTCCAGAGTCCCGTTCGCATCTAGAGGTAAACGTATCTAGCAATGGCATGTCTGCGCACGCATGCGTCGCGTTTCACCGCTTCTGCGCATGCGTGTGACATTGTTTTGAGCGTCTGCGCATGCGCAAGCAGCGAAACCCGGAAGTAACGCGCTCCGTTACTTCTGGGTTGCCACGGAGCACAACTTGAACGTGCTCAACTCGAAGCGTATTTAACCCGAGGTATGACTGTAAATGGCCAATCACTTAAATCATGCCTGAGCTTTCATTTCGCTGTAGAGAAATGCATTTTTAATGCAACCCCTTTATGAAATAGATACTGTCTACAACAGCATAATTTCATTTTCCTTTTGTTTATCAGCCAGCATTTTTTATGTGTGTCCATCAATGTCAGACTTCAAGACAGGTCGGCTGCTGGGTACTGAGACTGTCTGTCTCCCCTTGGACTTCTTGCTTTCTACTGATTTCCAGCAGAGGCTAGTAACTCATTCCAAAGGGTATTTAGGGGCACAAGGCACTGGGACATTCTGTTGTCTTAACATCTACTGAGCTGTGATCTTTGCACATCACCCAGCCCTGGGCTTTTCTGAAGGGCAGGGGAATGATGGGTGCATAAAATTCCTGTTACTGGCATATTGACGTTATGAAATGAAGTTCATTAACATTTATCAGCTGCATGGTTAATTTCCAGGAAAGTAGATTTATGGTAATAAAACTATTAAAATACACGAGATAACATTGTTATGAGTGCTGTTAACATGCTCCCTTTCTCAGTCTAAAAAGTTAATGAGCAGCCTTATTGAGACAGACTGGAAGGTCTTCACTTCCACCGTGACTCCTGTTCCTGTACAGTGGTACCTTGGTTCTTAAACTTAATCTGTTCTGGAAGTCCATTCCAAAACTAAAGCGTTCCAAAACCAAGGCAAGCTTTCCCATAGAAAAGAATGCAAAATGGATTAATCTGTTCCAGAACTTTAAAACAACCCCTACAATAGAATTCAACATGATTTTTACTATCTAATGAGACCATTTATCTATAAAATGAAAGCAATAATCAATGTACTGTACTATAAAATAAATAAGACAATATTGTAGATGATAAAAATTAATTTTTTTTTTCTTACCTGCACCATTGTTTTGATGGGGGGGGGGCTTTTATCCATTTCTGCAGTCGCACAATCAATCAATCAATCAGTAGCTGAACTGGGTTCCACACAGTCACAAAAACAAATAAACTGAAAAAGCCTCAAAAACACAAAATAAATAGTAAAAACAAAAGTGCCAAATATAGTGGTACCTTGGTTCTCAAACTTAATCCATTCCGGAAGTCCGTTTGACTTCCAAAATGTTCAAAAACCAAGGTGCGGCTTCTGATTGGTGCAGGCCCCCTGGAAACAATAGCCGACAGCCACATCGGATGTTCGGCTTTTGAAAAATGTCCGAAAGCCGAAACACTTACTTCCGGGTTTCCGGCATTTGGGAACCAAGGTGTTTGAGTACCAAGGTGTTTGAGAACCAAGGCAACACTGTATTGCCTTGGTTTGGTTAGATCGGGGCACATAAGTTGTGCCTCTCTGACTCTGTGCTACACTATTACTATTGTGTTTTAAGAACAGGTAAAACCATTTGAGGCACTCTGGTGTGTTTTTTTACAAGACTCTCTGGATTTGGAAAACACAGGGCAAAATGTCAGACTGGTGAAATCAAACGCCCAAACGCTTATTTTGTCTAAGCTTGGATTTGGGGGCTTTGCTCAGCCTTGAGATAATAAAGCAGCAGGTTCCTACAGCTTGGGCAGATCCTTAGCATACATCAGGGATGTCCAACTCCCAAGAGATCTACTCACAGTATAAAAAAACTGGTCATGAGCTACCCATTGTCGTTGGATGGATCAAAGTTGTTGAGCTGCTTTTTAGGGAGCCAATGAATGAATGAGACTGAATGAGCATTATACACAGAACATAATCAAAAGTCGATTATATAAAACACAGCTTAGGGCCTTGAGTTCACAGTCCGATAGTGGAACTTAATCTGATGGCCCACTTTTTTACTAGGAAGCAAAAGTTGCAGAGCTTTTTTAGGAAACCAAAGTTGTTCAACTTTTCTTAGGAAGCCAGAGTGGTTGAGCGCTTTTTTTTTAGGATGCAGTAGTTGTTGAGCTTTTTTTATTCTATTTTTTAATTTTTTATTTTGGGGAAGGAGATCCCTGAGGGACCAGAGATCAACCAGGATCTACCAGGAACACCCCGTGATCTACTAGTGGATTGTGATCTACCTGTTGGACGTGCCTGGCATACATTTAAAGTGTGTTCAATGGACATTTGAAGGAAATGACTTCACCCAAAGAATCCCGAGAATTGTATTTTTCTCCTGCAGACCTACAATTTCCCATACCCTTAATAAATGATAGCTCCAAGAATTCTTTGGGGGAAGTCAGTGCTGGTCAGAGATCCAACCAGAGGGGAGTCAACCCAGAACGTAACCTTGAATGGTGCTCTGTACCTGGTGTGAGATGCAAGTGTTGAGTCAATTGGGGGCACCACTCAAGGTTATGTTCTGGGTTGACTCCCCTCTGGTTGGGTCTATGACCAGGCATTTACAGTACTGTATCTAGGAATTTTACCTCTTTGCCATGACTGGAACTTGTAGGTAGCCAGTCTACGCCAATGTAGTTAAAGTCACCCATTACTATGACATTTTCTCTTTGGGGTGCTTGCTTGATTTCATTCCTTCAAATATACTCGGAGTCCTGCAGTGAGTTCATGCTCTTTATTGCAGCTTGTAAAACAGTGATTGCATCCCCCCCCAAAACCTCAGGCCTTTATATACATTATTTGCACAATGAGTCCCGTCTGATTGGCTGATTCTGCTTCCCTCCTGGAGCCTGATTGGTCTTCTCCTGCAGGCCAATCAGCTGTTGCATCCTACGATCCTACCAGTCTAATATGCTGATTAACTTCCTCCTTGAGCCTCATTGGTCTTCTCCTGCAAGCCAATCAGTTGTTGCATTCTAGGATCCTACCTACTTATTGTTCTAGGATCCAAACTTAGTACATAACACCCCTCATCTCAAGATCTTCCTGAGCATTATGATCAGGAGGACAACAGCGCATCCCCAGCTCTAAATTACTCTAAGGGCCCGGTATCACCATCCACCATGATTTCTGAAGGAATCTTCCCCCTTGAAGTTTTCCGGTTTGCTGGACTGACATACAGACAACGCCATCTACAGTACGTCCTTCCTGTATAATTTACAGTGGTATCTCGGGTTACATATGCTTCTGGTTACATATGCTTCAGGTTACAGACTCTACTGTAAGCTAGCATTAGCTTATAAACACTTGTATGCTGTCTGTCTCTTCAAGTGTCTTGCTCTTGCCTTTTGACTTGTGCTGCTTTGGCCTTTCTGAATTGCTTTCCTGTGCCCTGTACTCACAATGCCTAGTTCTATGCTTTCCCCATTTAATATTTCACCAGTTTTTTCATCTTCAACGCAGAGGATTCATTCTGAATTGGACCCTCCCCAGCTCTTGTCGGCTTCCCTCCCTCCCCACAATCAGCTTAAAAGCTGCTCTGCCACCTTTTTCAAGTGCCAACAGAATCCTCTTTTAACATATACTAATGAATACATAGCCCTCTGAATTGTACTGTGACCTTTCTAGTTTGGCTCAAGGGGATTCACTCAGCAAGAGGTTTCTTATTTCTGATGTAAATCACCCTTGCTTCCCACAAGGCTCTACCACACAAACCCTCCAAGGTCTCTTACTGAGGCAGGTGGTTTCTTTCTGCTATTCTCCTCTCGCCGCCTCAAGCAATGCTGGGCTCTTTTCACAGCAGCCTTTAGCCATTGTGGTTTGGCCACCAGGGGGCCTACAGTTCAATAAAGGATGATTGGAGCGAATTACTGGGGGAAACGGTTTTTATTCTGGCCCAAGATCTGAGGGAATGCAGAACGGCAGTGAGGCTGGTCGAGGCAGACTGAAGACTTTCTCCGTCTTGGCTCAATCCGGGCTGAAGCACCAGGGTCGCCTCCCCCTGCTCCCTGCCCTCTTAATACCTCGAGTCAAAGCGTGGGAATTTTCTCCCTCATTTCCTCCTACTTTGCTGTGCCATCTCTGCTGGCTCTTTTTGTAAGTTGCCTCCTGTGTGCATCGTCCTCCCCATCTGTGCAGAAGGAAGGATGCCTTTGCCTTGGACAATGATGCTTTTGCTTCCTTTCCTGCAGCCTTTGGAGACCAGGGGGAAGGAAGGTGCTGCCCCGCTTCTTCAAGAGCCTTCTATATCCTCCAGGAGGGAGCAGAGGGCTGGAGAGGGTCATTTAACAAGGCACTTTGTCTCTCCAGAGGCGCTGCTGGAGATGCCTGGAAGACCGGGCAGGCTGAGATGGCCAGGATCCCTTGGCAATCAGAGGGGGTGGCAGCTGTCGGAAGAGCAACTGAGGTGGAGAAGGACTCGCCGGGGAACCGAGGATGAAGAGCCCAAGCCAGTTCAGCAGTACGTTCCGGGAGTAGAAGTGGAGTTTCCTCGGCCCGTGCTCCCTGGCAGCTTACGGCCCACCAAGGCCCTGGTGCCGTCCAGCACGTATCCCTCTGAGCAGCGCCAGCGGAGTCCGGCGGTCCACGGGGCCACAGAACTCCAGGACAATACGACTGTGGCATCAGGGAAGCGCCCTCAGATCCAAAACCCTCTGTACCCAGTGACCGAGAGCTCTTACAGCGCCTACGCTGTCATGTTCCTGTCCCTCATTGTCTTTGCCGTGGGCATCATTGGGAACCTCTCCGTGATGTGCATCGTCTGGCACAACTACTACATGAAAAGTGCCTGGAACTCCATCTTGGCCAGCCTTGCCTTCTGGGACTTCCTCATCCTCTTCTTCTGCCTGCCAGTGGTTATCTTCAATGAGATCACCAAGAAGAGGCTGCTGGGGAGCATCTCCTGCCGCGTGGTGCCTTTCATGGAGGTAAGAGATTCCACTGCGGTCCTCTCTGGTTTCTCATCAGCAATTTTGTGCGTCCTCTTTGGGGGGTAATCTTTGAGCATGTGCCCGGCTATATATTGCAAGCTTGGACATACCCCTCTCCAATGTAACTCAGTGCCTTCTATGCTATATATTCTAACCTCATATGAAAGGCTGGAGCAGGCATAGGCAACCTCAGCCCTCCCGATGTTTTGGGACTACAATTCCCATCATCCCTGACCACTGGTCCTGTTAGCTAGGGATCATGGGAGTTGTAGTCCCAAAACATCGGGAGGGCTGAGGTTGCCCATGCCTTGGCTGGAGGCTACACCAGCCTTCTTTCCAACCAGGCAACAGGTGTGTCCCAGATCACTGAGATGCCTTTCAGTAAGTGGAGATAAGTATGCTTGTTGGATGAGGAAAGTATTGCCACAGATGGTATTTTTAAAGCCTGATTACCATGGACATTCATCTGAACTGTGCTTAGGCCATTTGAAAACTGCTGAGGGTCTTGGTGGACCACTTCATGGTTTTTCTGCCTCTTGTAGCAATTGCCACTGTGCTAGATGCTCTCTGGTTTCTATTTGTATTTTATTGCTTCTTTTATTTCTTATAGTTATTTCATTGTATTACACTTTGAATTTCATAGAAGCGATAGCAATGCAATTAAAAATCAGTATGGCTATTTAACATGGGCATGCCATGGACCACCTGAATGAAGCTAGCCGACCACTGGTGGGAACTCCTTGCATAGTGATTCGTTGCTTCATTGACTCCAGATACTCTGAGCTACAGAACAAACATGGGGAAGTTGTGCATTATTTGTCTAGAAGAAAACAATATAGGATGGAAATACAGCTAATTTACGGAGCAAGGTTATAAATGCAAATACTTTTAAGTCCCCTCAGGAAGATAACGCCCCAATTAAAAATAATAAACATATCAAACAGTTGCACTGACTCCATTAACCAGCAGGGCTTCAGGCTGCTATAACAATCTAAGGCAATTCAAAGAGCTGTATTCATACCATTGCAAAGTTTTATTCACAACTTTTAAAGGTTCGGAGCAGGTTTCTTGCATGACAAGCACAGAGAAGGCAGAGCTGAAGTGGCCATTCTTGGAAAAATTCTCTCCCATTGGAGACAATGCATTCCTCTTTAGGTACCACTGCCTTTAACAGTCATGTGACAGGGATACTACATCATGCTGGGAAAGGCTCTACCTGTTGAATTTCTACCTGTTGTGCCTGCTTTTAAAAGAACAGAAAGAGACAGTAGTTGCAGCCCTAACTTTAAGACTTCATCCAGGTACTTATCACTTAGAGATATATGCAGCTGTGTCGTAAGAACGTAAGAATAACCTCTTGGATCAGGCCAATGGCCCATCTAGTTCAACATCCTATTCTCACAGTGGCAGGAAACCCATTAGAAGTGTGCCACATTTCTAAACTGCATAGAAGTTCCCCTCTACTTGGGTTGTGTACGCTTGTGCATGTGATGGCACATGTTGATAATACTTCTGGTGTGTCTTAAGCTTTCGCACCTGGGGATAACCTTATCTTTTTTTATAGACTGGACAGTTAGTCTGACGTACACAAAGGCTAAGTACCTCACTTCAGGTTCCAGGGGAAATCTGTGGCAATGGAAGAAACTGAACCAGGGATTCAGCTAGTATTTGAGGAGAGCCTGTACTTACCATGATGGGCATGTGGATCCTCTTTTGAAATAACTAGCAGAAGAAGGAAGAGCAACCAAGTGACAAATCCCTCTTCTACACAACTGTTGAAGGCGCAATAATTCTGCCCTCTTTTTCATCTGCTCATGCTATCAATATATTTGCTTTTGCACATGAACCTCAAGCATCCCTGTGTGCAGGCAACTGCATCAGTCCTGATAATGTATTTGTTTAGTGTTTCGGCATATCCAAAATACATTTTATTTTCAACTGCATTGGTTTCTAAGGCAGTGGGGTGAGGGCAGATCCTGCACTCCTGTGAGTGCTCAAAACGTTGCACCTTTGAAAACAGGGAGGCTTACTTTTGAGTTAACATGGATAAGATTGCACTGCACACGCAACATTTGTGCAGAGTACCCTGCCCCCTTCCATGCCTTGCCAGAGTGTGCCTAAAAGACAAGTCTGAATAATCAACCGCTGTCAATGAAGATGGTTGACAAATGCTCAGTATGGCGGATCTCTGTGAAACTCACTCTGCACTTAAAGACATGAAAACTAGGCTGTCAGGTGGAAGGATGGCAAAGACATGGTGGACCTGTACATTTGCCATGTAATTCTGCCATTAGAATATCATTCCATCTTCTGCCCCAAGGCACTTGGGCTTCAGAGGGTTCCTATCCAAGGAAAGCATCCTGGTGTGAGGCCAGATTCACACAATCCTTTATCTCCAGTCAGATGTGGGAAAATAAATTAACATGGCCATGTGGTGGAGCAGTTGTCTGATTGTCCAGGATTCTTTGGGAGAAACCATTATGTTTGAACTGGCACAAAACGGATGTGAGTTAGAGCCAACCAACGATCAGGATCTAAACTACTAGCTCATGCCAGCTTCATTCCGGTTTGACCATAATGGCTTCTCCCAAAGAACATTGGGGATTATGGGGCCAAACTAGACATTAATTACATGCTTGGGATTGGCTACATCTTTCTTTTTGCCCCAATTTTCAAATGTTATGTAGAATTTTAAAAATCAAGGCAAATAGCAGCTGGTGTAAAACTCAATTTCCAATGGGAAGAAAGTGCAAGGAAAATGATTTTCCAATTTTAAAAATCTCACTTTCCGGATCAGGATATGGGGCTTTGAAGCTGCTTTTTGTAAATGAAGAGACATTGCTGGTCCCAAATGCAGGATGCAAAAACATGGTTAAAGTCATGCCTAGTTTGGCTGCTAAATTTGGTAAAGGTGTTAAGAATTCTCTGTTACTGATCCCTAGTCTCCCCATCAAATTACATTTCCCTGAGGCCCAACCCTCACCCCCAAGAAAACAGGTGATCAATGACTGCTAGCCATGACGGCTATATGCTACCTTCAAGATCAAAGGCAAAATGCCTCTGAATGCCAGTTGCTGGGGAACAAGAGTGGGAAATAAGAATGCTCACGACCTGCATGTCAGCTTCCCATAGGCATCTGGTTGGCCCCTGTGGGAAGCAGGACATTGGATTGGATCAGCCTTTGGTCTGATCCAGCAGGGCTTTTCTTACAACAGAACCATCAAGACCATTGTGTCAGCTCATGGCCAGGCTGCATTAGAGTTCATTCGACCCACAATTGGCCCTGCAAATTTGTGTGGCTGGCTTTGTCTCATATAGGGCAAAGCACATAGGAAAGCTCCATAGAATGTAGGCACCTTTCTTCTCAAATAGCTCCGACTGAAGCTGGAGTGTTCTCATTTGCAATGAATTGGAACTGCCCAGGTTTATGGTAGTGCTCTTGCACACATCTCAATCATTTCAACAGGGTTTGTACCAGGGAATATCCCAGTAGTTTATGCCTAGGACTGAGAAGACAGGTGATTTATTGAAAGGACAAACGCCGGCTCCCTCGGCCTATAGAGCGAGATGAGCATGCAACCCCAGAGTCATCCACAACATGTTTAAATTCCAATTAAATGATGCATGTTTAAATTCCAACTGGAACGGAAATGAAATTTTGTGCAGATTAAAGTCTTTGCGATTTCTTACAACCCAATTGTTTACTTTCTGAATGATGAATGTTTACAAATGTGGGGCTAGGCTGGTAAGTGGGGGAGACCAATGGGACCATGTGTCGGTGGTCTTGAAAGTGCTACACCATCTGCCAATGAGCTACTGGGCCAATTCAAGGGGTTAGTATTAGCATGGGACCCAAGTACCTAAAAGAGTGCCTTCCCCAATACCAGTCATCTTGGTCTTTATGATCAGCAGGTGAGGACTTGTTGGTGATGCTGCCGCTGGAGGCTGTCCAGTTCGCATTGACCCATAACGGGGTCTTTACAGTAGTGGTTCCCCATTTGTGGAACCATCTTCCCTAGAGAAGTGAACCTGTCTCTTGTCCTGCATAATTGACTTTTCAGGATAAATTCAGACACATTTCTGTTTACCAAGGCATTTGGTAGCTGAAAGACAATGTTTCTGGCAACCCTGAGATCACTGGTTGAGAAAATGTTTTAAAATTGCTTTTGGAATGTTCTGAACTATTTAGTCCCCACCCCAAAAAATAATGTTTTAACATTGCTGTGTCTACCACCCTGGGCTCCTTCTGGAGTAAGGACGGGATATAAACCAAATGAATAAATAAAAAATGATGACGATGATATTCAGACTTGACCCTTGGCATGTAGGTTAGTTTTTATATAATATATACAAGTTCCTTCTTCTCTCCTGTCCTTCCTTGCGAGAGAACGTGCCACGCAGGCTGCTTACTCTGTAGCTTCTCTGGTCGGTTCCTAACTCGAAGCAAGATGAGAGCGATGCAGGTGGTGGAACATCTGTGAATGATTCAGTGCTTCACTATGGGAACAGCTCCATGCATGGGTGAGGCAGGGAAGACAATGCAGCCTTGGTATTGTTTGGCAGGATCACAGGCAGTAAGGGCCTGCTGTAGGAAAATAGGGAAATGCAGTCACGGATCAAGGACTTATTCATGCAGTCCACACATCCCAACACTGTCAGAGGCCGCTTCTGCTTGCTCTGGAGAAATATTTGCCAACATCTGAAAGTCCAAAACAGGCTGACGGTGCTTGCAGACATTTACTACCCTCCATCTTAGAAGCTGCATACCCAGTGCCACTCTGAAAGGAAAGCAACTGAAACCAGGACAGGAATCTTAGTATCTGCAGTCTTTCAGGGGGGAAAATCCTGTTAAATGCTAGAATGTTAACATGCTTGAAACTGCTGACTATGAAAGCAGCATAGTACATATTCTTTATTCCGCTCCGTTTGTCAGACTTAAGTAGTTTGCAAATTGCCTTTTAATAAAACTTGCAGAGCAGCTGTGCCTTTGGAAGACATTCTGGTTTAACCCAGCAGCTCAGCTTTTGCAAAAGTTACCCTGTGCCTTTGAGTTTCCCTTTCAGAACAAATGTCAAGCACACGGCAGCTAGCATTTGTCTGGCTGCCTCTTCTCTACCTCAAAGCATCTCAGAGAGCAGAAGAGTTGTGGCAGGAAAGACGATGCTGAACCCATCCTTCACCTTCCACTTTCTCCCAAAACTCCCCATGCAAGCTACTCCTCCCCTCCCAAGTTTTCTACCTTAAAAGCCCTTTTAAGGCTTTGCTTATACAGTAGTACCTCGGGTTACATACGCTTCAGGTTACAGACTCCGCTAACCCAGAAATATTACCTCGGGTTAAGAACTTTGCTTCAGGATGAGAACAGAAATTGTGCTCCAGCGACACGGCAGCAGCAGGAGGCCCCATTAGCTAAAGTGGGCATCAGGTTAAGAACAGTTTCAGGTTAAGGACAGACCTCCAGAACGAATTAAGTTCTTAACCCGAGGTACCACTGTAACTGTTTTTCCTGGGACTGTAGTACCACTCCATACTGCAGATGGAGGGTGGCATGTTTGAATGATTCTTCAGTTTTTTAAAAAACCCTATGTCAAGAAAAAGATAATGTGGTTTGGTGAGGTGCAGAGATCTGCGATGAGGCTTCACCTGTGACTGTAAGGCCCAAGATGGGCCTTATTGGGGAGGCATTCTTTTAGGTACATGGGTTCCAAGCCATTTAAGGATTTGTTTTCTAGTACTAACACCATGAATTTGGCCCGGTAACTCACCGGCAGGCTATACAGTGTGTTTAGGCCCGGTGACACATGGTCCCATTGAAGGCAGAGTAGGGATGCACAGCATCACATGCGTACAGAGCAACTGCTTGAAGAAGCAAAATGAAACACTTGGGCTGGGCCTACAGTGTTCAAGGCAGCCCCTTGCTCCAGTCTCCCACCAGTTTCTTGGAGAGAAACAAGGGCATTGTCAGCGTCGTGGGGTGTGTGTATCTTTAGATTAAGAGGGAACCTGTGGGTACCCATTCTCATGTCTTTAAAAAGCACCATGAGAAGCAGCCCTCAGAAGCCCAGGCTGTGGCCTGGAAGCGTTCTGTTGTGTACCGGTTTGGCTGCACTTAAAAGGAGACGGAGGGTTTCTGAGGATTTCTTCCCAATTTCCGATGCTTCCTGCACTCAATGAATGTCCCTTGTTCCCCTCAGAAGTGAGCGGGTGCCTGCAATTAGGGCCCTGGAGCTCTCGCGCAGTCTATGGACAACTGTTCAAATGGGGCGTTGTGTTTCCTGAGCCCAAGGAAAGCACAGCGTTTGTAATGGAGAGGGCAGCGTGAGGGGGAGGGCAGCCCTGGCTGCTATTTATTCATGCTCTTCATTGTCTTTCAAACCCACCCAGAGTTTGGCATTTTCTCCTCCACGCTTTGCCCTCTTCCCTTTTGGCAGAGGGGGATGTTTTCCTGGGCTTCTGAATGTAGCGGAAATTAGCTGGGACTGGCTGGGGACACCAACAAACTTATTTGAACTTGCTTATCCCTCTGAGAGCGGATGCGTTTAGGTAGTAAGAACCAGAAGGGGAGCAGGGTTGGGAGGGGATTTCAATGACCAGCGCTGATTTTGTCAAGAGCTTGCTAGTGGCCTGGGAAGGATTCACAAGGAGGTCTCTCCCACCCAAGCCGGACGCTCTTGCTTTTAGTTGCTAATTGCAATCTGTAAATATATGAAAAGGTGCAGCAAAATAATAGTCCCAAGGAGGTAGAATGGATTCTACCGCTTCTGGGTGTTCCCCAACATAATAATTTCCTTGCAGTTAGAAGTGTAGTGCATCATAGAGAAAAAGTTCTGGTCCCAACCCTTCGCCTGCCATGCTGGCTTTCTGTTTGCATGAAATGATTAAGATGGGGAGCATTTGTGACTGGGATCTCTCCACCTGTAGGCTGATGTGATACAGTCCATGTAGCCCCTGTCTTCTGTTGAATGAGTAGAGCCTGCCCAAGTCTGGTTTCCTGGGGAGGGATAACTAGTAAATAAGAAGTGCAGCTATAGGAAAGTTTCTAGCCATACCACAGATGCATGTTTCGAATGATATATATATACACAAACCACAATGAGCCCCCTGACTTCCTACTGTGCATCCCTATGCTGTCACCAACTGATATAAAAATATAGGCAAAAATGGTAAAGGTATAAAATACAAACACTGAGGTATAAGAAACCAAAAAAGAGTGGTAAGGGGGAAGAATGAATAAGAGAATGCTGCTTAGCTGAGCCTTTGAGCATTTTTATTTCAGATACAGCTTTGGGAGAGTCCACCAGATTGCTTTACCAGTATTGACCGTACAAACTTACACTAGTGTTAAAGCAAAATAGCAGCCAAGGGGGGAGTATGAGTAGGCTGTGAGCCTTTCTTCCAGAGCTGATCCCCTCAGTTGCCTTGATATATCTGCCTCAAGTTTTCAAAGCAAGGGGGGTCATTCTGGTAATAGGGCTCATTTAGCACTCTGGATTTGCCTCATTTTTAATCCTTCGGGCTTCCAAAGGTTACTCTCTCTCTTTGCTTAGGCCTACATTGGAGGAACCTTTTCCAAAGCATCTTTCACCTATAATCCATTATGTCTTTTCACAAACTTTTGGCCTTAACCAACAACAGTGCTCTTGGGAACATATAAAAAAGCTGTTGGGGATTTGGGTGACCTTACCTGGTTTTACAAAAGGCATGTATATAAAAATAGCAAGGTATAAACTGGGGTCTGCATCAATCCTTATACAGTAAGCCCATTTCTTGTACTCAGAAAGAGGCTTTTTGCACTCAAAAGAAATAGAGAAACTTATTTTGCAGCTCATCCATTGAGGTCAACATCCCCTTCTCTCTTTAAAGCAAACTGCCCCTTTTGGTCAGTTCACTTACCCTGAACAACAGTCTGTCTCTGTTCTTTGTGATCCTAGGTGTCTTCGTTGGGCGTAACCACCTTCAGTCTCTGCGCTCTGGGCATTGACAGATTCCATGCGGCCACCAGTCCGCAAGCCAAGCTGCGACCCATTGAGCACTGCCATTCCATCATTGCCAAGCTGGCTGTCATCTGGGTGGGTTCCATGACTCTTTCCGTCCCAGAGATCCTCCTCTGGCAGCTGGCACAAGACACCTCACCAGTCTCTGGCATCGTGACTGACTACTGCACCATGAAGCCTTCCCAGGACCTGCCAGAATCTATTTACTCTCTGGTTCTTACTTACCAGAACGCCAGGATGTGGTGGTACTTCGGATGCTACTTCTGCCTGCCCATCCTCTTCACTGTCAGCTGCCAACTGGTCACTAGAAGAGTCAGCAGCCCAGACAAGACCGACTGCCGTGGCAGTAAGCACGGGCAGTGCGAGAGCCAACTCAACTGCACCGTGATCGGCCTGACAGTGATCTATGGTCTCTGCACAATTCCAGAGAACGTCAGCAATATCGTTGTGGCTTACCTATCTCCTGACATGGCCAAGCAGACCCTGGACTTGCTAAGTCTTGTCAACCAGTTCTTCTTGTTCTTCAAGTGCTCGGTGACTCCGGTGCTGCTGCTGTGCCTCTGCAAGCCGCTGGGCCAGGCTTTCATGGACTGCTGCTGCTGCTGCTGCGACGAGTGTGGTCAGGAAGCTGCCTCCAGCGACGGCGGCTCCGACGGCAAGCTGAAAACCGAGATGTCTTCTTCCATCTTCTTTGACAAGCCCCGGGAATCGCCTACCCCTGTGGGGGCGGTTGGCACTCCATGCTAAGCTCAATCAGCTAAGCGGGGAGCATTAGCAGTTCTTCCACCAGCTTCTTCCCAAGACCAAAAGTTGTTTTTCTCTTTAGTTACCAGCTGGCGAAGTGGCTGGATGGTGGAAATGGAGCAGGGCTTGTTCCAACACCAGCTCCGATCAGAGTGACTTAGTTATGAGGCCTCAACAGGCAGCTCTCTCTCCTCTGCTGAACTATTACCTAGGGTGTGAGCGCCCCCAAATCGCAGGCACGAGCAGAGAAGGCTGCTGCCATGAAGGAGGGGGGTGCTGAGGAAAGCTCCGCCTGCAGCCCCTCAAGGACTGAAGAGACCCCAAGTGTCTTAGAGAGGACATAGTACAAATTAACCCATCTTGCAGTCGTGCAGGATCTCACTGTCCCCTTCTCTGCTCCAGGCCCAGAGACAGCCTCCTATACAAAATAAGCACTACCCTAGCCTCAATAAACCAATACTCTAGATAGTGAAACATGTTTCCTGAGATGACATTTTTAAAAACAAAAGATGTGCTGTAGAGCTGCTAATTGTTGTGTGTCTTCTAAAGTGAATCTACCTATATAGTGCCTTACCAGATTTCCTCCCTGACCAAGAAAGCACATAAATTTTCTCAAGGAACAGCATAGTTTTCCAGGAAGGTATATATACTTTTTTTTAATGTGATAAGGGAAAGCACGGGAAAGGTATTCTGATTTTTCACAAGTCTCCAGGTGAGTACTACTCACTGAACTTTGATGCTCCTAACTAAGCTTATATTTGCACTCATGGTGCTGCCTGCGTGGTTTTTGTCAGCACAGCCTCCCAGGAGGAAAGAGTTCAACTCTTTCCCTGCACACCATGGCCCAGATCATAACCAGGATGCCAACAGGTGCTGTTAATGGTTTTATAAGTATTCAGATAACTACATGTGACACATAAGGTGTGATTCACTCTGTGTATTTCCTATTTGTGAGCCAAACGTCACAAGTTCGCCTCCTTCGGTGAGGTCAAGCAGAGAACATAAGGGCTCACCAAACCCATCCTGAAGATCAGGAATCCTGCTACTTAATCCCCCCTGAGTTTATTTAACCCGAGTTTAAGGATATTTAATGTCTCCCTTGTGGAAACATACTTCTGTATTTAGGCATCCCTCCAGTATCTAAAGTATTTTGCTGCCATGGACTTTGCAATGCCCTCCAAAAGGAAGCAAGTCTCTCACATTAACACACACAGACAGGCTCAGATTCCTGTGCGCATGCTGGCGACGGCCTCCCTTGGCAACAACGTTCATCGGGGCACAATGAGCTCTCTCTGCTGGGTTCAAGCAGCACCTGTGGCTGCATACTTTGAAGAGGGGGAAGCGATGGCTTGCCCACAAAGCCAGAATGCAGCGCTTCATAAAACCTGCATATAGCACAGTCATAGATGGAGAAAAGTCAAATAGGCATCTATGCAGACCTTGAGCCAGGAAAACCCATCTGTTTATCCCAGGGCTCTGGGTCTCCCTTTAAATCCTGAGTAAGGAAGTCTCCACCTTCATGCCACCAATGAAAAGCGAGTGACTTGAGGAAACACTAACTGCAAGGACCTTCTTTCAGGCTAGACATCCCTTTGGGAATTTGTAGGTCACTAAATCCTCAAGGGACGCAGGTGGCGCTGTGGGTTAAACACAGAGCCTAGGACTTGCTGATCAGAAGGTCGGCGGTTCAAACCCCCATGACGGGGTGAGCTCCCGTTGCTCGGTCCCTGCTCCTGCCCACCTAGCAGTTTGAAAGCACATCAAAGTGCATGTAGATAAATAGGTACCGTTACAGTGGAAAGGTAAATGGCGTTTCCATGCGCCAGAAGCTGCTTAGTCATGCTGGCCACGTGACCCGGAAGCTGTACACCGGCTCCCTCAGCCAATAAAGCGAGATGAGCGCCACAACCCCAGAGTCATCCGTGACTGGACCTAACAGTCAGGGGTCCCTTTACCTTTAAATCCTCAAGGGGCTCTTACATTTCCTGCCAATGTGGTGGTCGAGCTGTATATGCCGCCACAGGATATGTTGCACTCTTTTTCCTCCCCAATTGTACATTAGGCAAATTCATGTAGAAACCATTTAGTTTTAGCTAATAACAGTGATAGCCTGAAGCAGAAGCTCCTTGTTCAATGGAAGTAAAACCCTGCTTTCTGGATGAGTATCTCCAAATGCTCTGTGCCCCTAGTCTGTATTAGGGATATCTGGAATTCTATTCAGGTGTTACACAGGTATGGGGAGGTGGGCATGCATGCATACTGCCTCTGCTCCCAGTGTCCCTGTATGCACTGACCTACCCACCCACCCTGTGCTCCATCTCAACCTTTGTGAATTGGATGGGAAGGTCTGAAGAGAGCATCTAAGCACATTTGACTGACCGTGCTTAAAAGCCTCTGCCTGATCAGAAACCCTGCCTTATCAGGGTCCCAGCTGTGCAGAGGCCTCTAAACCCATTCAGCAAGATGCACTTTTCAGACCTGCATGTATGTTGCATACGCTCCTTACTTGTGGTTACATTCCCTATTCAGGCAGAACACTTCAATACAGCTGGCCACTGGAACAGGCATAATAAACATGAGCCATGCTTGGTTGAGGCTCTCAGGAATGCACTTGTAGCTTCAGCACAGCGGCATGCAAGGGACAAACAGAAGCTCATGTTTCCCTTTTCATGTGAAGTCACTGCCAGAAAAATGCTTCTGCAGCTCCAGGTAGCACTGCACTAGCATTTCCTGTGTGACTCCCAAGATAGAAGGAATCCATTCAAACATTCACTACCACAGCGATTCCTCCACATCTCTCTTCCCTTTCCTTCTCTCACCGCACCAGCAAAGCTTCCGAGGCGAATGACGTTAGGCCCATGAGAATCTCATTGTGCTTCTTCGCTCTTGCAGAGAATAGCTTGGGAGTACGGCCCGCGTGTGACCTAACTGCTTCAAATCCACAAGACGACAGAAGGAACCAACCGTTTATTGATTTGGTCTTCTTTAAAGGTTAGACTTAGTAGTTTGGTTGATGCAAAGGCTCCTTAGGTATGAGCCTGCTGTGAATAGATTCACTCAGCAAGACTGAAAGTTCTAAAAAAACCTCCCAGGCCTAAGATTCTTTGCATCCTTCAGGACGCTGGCAGACTTTGGGCTTTAAAATTTCAGGGGCACACACCTTCCATTGCTCGCTGTTGCGGCAGTGCCCCCTGCGACACTCAGTGCTGGCGAACTGGTCACACTCCCCTAAATCTGCCTCTGCTCAGTAGATTCAAGGGCATAGGTCTTCAAAAGCTGCTGGATCACCAGAGAGAGAAAGAGACCAATGGTGTGATCTCAAATGGAAAAGATCCTAAAGTAGTTCTGAGGCAATGATGATGTTGGTGGGCTATTCCTGTCAACCAAGGTGGGGTGGACACCTACAGCAGTGTTTGCCCTCAGGCATACTCAACCATACCCTACTGGTAATCAGGAAAACCCACACTATGGACCCAGCTCCTGTCAATGGTCAGGGGCAATGGGAGTTGTAGTCAACTTCTGGAGGACAAATGGCTCTCACCTCTGTGCAAGAGACACACTGGCAGTCTGGCACAGCAGAAAAAGGGCTCTTCACCTATCGTCCACCCGTACCCATTCTAGCAGTTTGCAGCAGCCCCTGCATTCAGGCCTCTCCCGCATTTCCCTGTTAGTGAGACTCCCAGCTCTGTTTGTGCAGAACTGTTAAAGGGCCTTGTTCTCTGCTGTCTTTGGATTGCACCCTCAGGAAGAGTAAACGCCACTGCGAGAGGGAGGCAGTTGCTAGGGGATGGGCTGCAACGCAGGGGATCAGTGAGGGCTTTGTATAGGGAATGACACCCACAGTTCCTTCTTGGGACTGCTGCCATGGAGACAAAGCTCCTGTCTTTGTACAAAGAAAGTGATGTTTGGATTGCTGCCCCCATTAGCAAACAAGAGCAGTCTTGGGGTAGGCACACTTGGTATGTATCCCAACGGCTGCTCTCTCTCTCGTCAGCAGACTAGGCCGCAGCTCATCTCTGTGTGCACAGGCATGGGGGAAGCCCTTTTGCTCTGAAACTGTTTACCATTTTGCCGGAGACGGGATTAATCTCTGGGGGGGGGGGGGGAGAACAGGGAGTTGTAGGCTCAGCACCACCAGAGCCAGCCAAAGTCCTCACCCACAATCCCTGGCTCATATGCGGGAAACGGCAAGGCCAAAGAGGGTGAGAAGATCACAGAGGAGGAAACTGCAGTGGTGACCGGGGTAGAAAAGGAATGCAAAGAGACCACTTTCTCAGAGTGCATTTCTGTTTGCTACGAAACAATGGTTTTCTAGCATCACAGTCCTTTCGACATGAACGTCTGCCGCAGAATGTCACCCAGTGCCTACAGACCCTCCCACCCGCTGCAGCAAATTCTGGGAAGCATTCGAGGGTTCACACTCCACTCACAAAGGACACTTGCCAGACCTACTGAGATTCACATTCACTGTGAGCACAACCTAGAGCACACTCACAACTTAGTTTGGACACTACGGAGGAAAAGTCGCAATGGTATGGGATCACAAGGTTCTGCCCAACTATACAAAAGCCAAGATGACCGTAGGGGTTTTCTTTTTTTAATATAGTAATTTTATTAAATTTTCAAATTTTACATTTCAAATTAAAACATCTATTATAACCATACGTTCACTGACTTCCCTCCCTCCCCTTCCAAGGTTCATTTAACTTACCCACCATTCCTGCATATTTTGATATATCCATCGAATTCAATTTTCCTATCTTACAACACTTCAAAATTTATTATACTGTTGAATTACTTTAATACTATCAGCATTTTAAACTGTGCAATCATTTTCAATATACTCAACAACAAAATTCCACTCCTCTTTAAATACCTGCTCTTCTTGTTCTCTTATTCTGCTTGTTAGACCTGCTAACTCTGCATATTCTATCATCTTAAGTTGCCAATCCTCCTTGCTAGGGACCTCTCTCACTTTCCATTTTTGGGCTAAAAAACCCCTAAGCCGCTGTTGTTGCATACATATTTTTTTCTGACTCCTGGGAACCTCTGTCTGAACAATTCCTAGCAGAAATGCCTCAGGTTTTGGAGGAGAAGTTGTTATAAACACTTTTTTATCTCATTATATATCATTTCCCAATATTCTTTAACTTTTTTGCATGCCCATCATATATGAAAAATGGTTCCTTCTACTTCTTTAATTTCCAACACACATCCAATTCCATATTATACATCTTAGCCTATCTACTTGGAGTTAAATACCATCTACGAATCATTTTCCTATATTTCTCTTTCTGTGTGTAGCATGCAGTAAATTTCAGCTTGTTCTCCCAAAGTTTCAAATCAATAAAGACTACCATAGGGATTTCAGTGTCCTTACTTTCAGGTTTTATCAACAAAGGAAAACTAAATAGCTGCAGGAATTTGTCTTCCTTTATGGTGAGCATTTATTTTGGCGGCTGATCTCATTTGAGCCCCATTCTGGAGTGACATCTATTAGGGACACGTTCTAGCACGTATGGTCTTCCCTGTCTGAAATACCTATGTAAGTTGCTTTCCTCGGTTTGCTGTGGTTTCTGGAGCGAGATGACACACTGCCATTTGTGGCTATTGGCGGATCTTCTGCCTTTACCTGCTATTGTCTTTTATGGCTGCTGAGGACGCACTCCTTGCTTCTTTCAGCTTCGTTAGTTCCTTCATTCGCCAAAAACATTTGATTTGATTTGCTCAAACTGCTGCTTTCTACCATCACACTCTTGCTTACAAATTTACACTAGTGTTAAAGCAGACACACTCATCTCTCTCGAGGTTTCACTGCTCACAGCAAAACCTGCTTGCAATCTCAAGGGCTGCAGTGTGGCACTTCCACTCAACTCCCACCCCCCAGAATTGATCGAAAGGACAGAATATGAGAAAATCTTTGGACTAAACAGTCTACCTTTGGGTCAGTTTGCATAGAAGGCAAAAGACTATCTATTCTGAAGATAGCCTCTGCCTTTTGCTAGCAGGGGGTCCTGTCCTATTAAGAGGATTAGAAAAAGTCCCAACAAAGTGAAGCAACCCAGAGCAATTATGAGACAGAGAGTAAGAGGAGGCCACTGTCTTGATCCTCGCCCTGCCAGGGAGGGTGAGGGGGTTTGTGCATAGCCTAAGTGGTGATGTGACCTGAATATGTAACAAGACAGCAGAGAATGGATGGGAGCTGCTATTCATGCAGTGCTTTCCCTGCTGGCTTACCCTGAGCAAGGGCCAAGTGAGAACAATGATGGGCTTGTTGCAAAGGGTTCTGGTTGGTCAGGGAGCTGGGGGTGGGGAAGGGAGAAGAGAAAACGAGAAAGAAAAGAGATCGAGCCTGGCTAGAATGCAGTTTGGGGGGAGGAAAGGAGCATGTCTAACATTTCAAAGATGCTGGGGCCATAAAGGGTTGCCCCCTTCAGTCAAGTGTTCAAGACACAGCATCAAGCGCATTATGATGCCATTTCCAATAGGGACTAGAGCCCAGGCAGCTGCTGCTGGAGCAGAGATGATCTGGGGCAATCCCAGTAGGCAGGGGCCAGATGGCCGAATCAGCATCATGCAGCCTAAGAATGGACAGTGAATGAAAGAATGACAAGACAGGGATGTTTGGGTATGGTGGCTGCGTACACACCAGTTTTAATACACATGAGGGTTGTACAGCCCTGATTTTTCCATGCGTACTTTCATGCACATTTGCCCACATGAAAGCTTTCAATTGAACTCTCTGCGTTTCCCATTCATACTAGCGAGAGCTGCTTCATGCTATGATTTGCACTGTGCGTTGAGCCATCCTCTCATTCAGTACTTTCCCACTTTTGCAGAGTTCCCTGAGGTCCATTGTAGGCATGCGTACAGGTAATTGTTTACCTGTGAATGCAGTCATTTTCAATTTATCTTTGATAGTTTTCTGATATACCAGACCTGTACAAAACAGGGCCTAACAACAACAAAATGTTGTGTGGTGCCCAGCAGCCCACCAAGGACTACCTCACCAATGGAAATAGTGGGTGTGGTGAAAGAAGGGACCCAGCAAACGTCACCACCTGCATAAAATAAATATGCCCACACAGTACATATTAGCATGCAATTTCATTTTGTTGTTTTCCTTACTGCATGATATGCAGATCCGAAAAATCCAAATCAAATGGAGGGAAAGTATAGACTGCCACGAGGATGAAGACATCACAGGGACATGAAATCCAATTTAAACTGTTCTGTGTATGCAGCTGGTGCACACCTTATGCGGTTTACATAAGGACAAAGAGAAGGCAGTTGAATTATGTTTGGAGTTTTGTACTTTACAGGAGCAACCCAGCCAGATGGGTGGGGTATCAATAATAAAATTATTATTTACAATACCAAACCAAAATGGGCTTTGAAAACCACCAGCCCAATCACCCTCAACTTACTTATGAAACTTCGCCACACAAGACCAAGATTCCTTTGCCCATCACTGCACTCCACAACCACTGGGGAGCACTGGACATTTTTATAAGCATATAGACTCAAGGGATACAAGAGTCCTGGCCACTGATCACACATATGACCAAGAAAGTGTGTCATAATTTTAAGCAGCAAGCAGAGCTACCATTGTGAATGGTTCCCCAGCATACAAACAATGTGGAAACAATTTCTGAGTATCAAAAGCCTGAAAACCACTGGATAAAGAAAACAGGATGGAAAATAGGTCTGTCATTGGACAATCACCTCCACACGAGAGGCCATATACCTGTAAACTGCCAACAAAGGGATGGATGGTTGAGTTTCCCAGGGACATCAGGCAGGCCACCGTTAGAGACAGTGTTAGGTTATGGGGATCTTTGGCCTGGTGCAGAACAGTAATTCTTATATTTCATTCTGAAGTTACCATGGACCCAAAACTGAACTCAAATAAAAGGCACACAAGTTAAATGTCAAATGATTGGTCCTCACTAGAATTTTCAAGTCTGCTTGGTATACAAGAAAGAAGTTACTGAGATAATCAAAATTCCAGAAAGGCAGCAGTATTAGCCTGCAGCAACATGAACATGTTTTTGGCAAAGTGCAATGCACCTTAGAGACTAATACAATTGCACTGTCTTCACTTCCAGAAAAATGCCATCAGCTCATTCACTCCAGAGTTCTCTTGTTGTCCCTGCTGAATGACACTCACCCCCTTCTTGGCCATAACTTCATCTCCAGTATTAATGATACTGGCCGGCTACTCTGCCTGCAGCAATAGTGGGCACAAGGTTGACAAGGCACACCAGGCACATGTGTGATGCTACTTGCAGATGTTTTTCTCCATTCGGTCTAGCAAACAGGCCTGCCTGCTCCTTTACTACTAGGACAAAAGTGGTTGTGTCAAAATGATATGCTTGTACCAAGAAATGTAAGCAAGAAAAAAAGCTGGACAGGAACTGCTGATGCATATAATCCTGAATTCATAGTTTGTGATGTGTAGGTGGTACATATTTCTCCACCTCCCCTTCAGGCCATATTGACACATTGCATTTAAAGAGAGGCAGTTATGTCCACATGCTATTCCTGTTCCATCAAGCCACTCTCTCCCCTAGATTTACTGTTGCTTGGATAGGTTTAACTGCAAGGAAATACTGTCACAGCACTGGTATTCCCAAAAGATGGAAAGTAAAGACGTAAGTGCTGTGAAAACAAGCCTGTCTTATGTTCCCTTCAGGAATATAAAAGCCACTTGCCGTCTTCCCCATGTGAAAAAGCTACACAATTAAGTCTGCAAGTGGGGAAATTGCAACAGCAATTAGGAGATACACAGAGATATGAAATAGCAGACTGAGGTCCCAGCTAGTTCAGGATTATGCTTCCAAGTACAAATACATCCACAAAAGTCACAAGGGAGGTTCTACTGCACTATCATGAAAAACTGTTGATAGACCTACTCTTGTATTAATTTGTGTACAGCTTTAAGCTACTGGCCAGACAGCTGTTGGCAGTGAATTCCACAAGTTAAACTAAGGCATTATATGAAATACTGCCTCCTTTGGTCTAGTCTGTTCCTAGCTACTGCTAGCCAATTTCATTGAGTGAGCCCATGTTCTAACTCAGGCATCCCCAACCTGCGGCCTTCCAGATGTTTTGGCCTACAACTCCCACGATCCCTAGCTAACAGGACCAGTGGTCAGGGATGATGGGAATTGTAGTCCAAAACATCTGGAGGGCTGAAGGTTGGGGATGCCTGGTCTAACTCCCTATATCAGGGTTAGTTAGCATGGTGTCAAGACACCTGCTGGACTTCAAGTCCCATTACTGCTGACCATTGGTCACACTGGCAGGGGCTGAAGGGTGCCAGAGGGCATACTGGCCACCCCTGCTCCACATCATTTATGAAGCTCCCTTGTGGACTTGTTTAGTTACTATATTTTAAAAAACCAAAAACCAAGGTGCCTTACATTACCTTTTGTTCCCAAGCAGCATAACACAGCCCCAATAGTTATGCTTGTTCTTTTCTGGTGCTGCAATGTCCTTCTTAAGATGCGGTGACAATAATTGTTCGCAATACTCTAAATGCAACTACACCACAGATTTATCTAATCTAGCTAAAGATTTCTGTTAGCGACGGCTTTGTTTCCATTTCCTTGCCTAGTAATTCTCAACTACGGTTGTCTTTTTCATTGCTGTTACACAATGTACTGACTTCTCCTGTAAGGTGTCCGCTGTCACCCCAAGATGGGCAAGCCCTAGCCAGTTCAGTCCCCGTCAGCGGGTGTACACGTAAATGTGTGGGTGTGGCAGGCAATTTGCCAAACATGAATCCTGGCAGGTGAACACATCTAAACATACAAGAATTACAGTTGCAAGCCTCCAAAGATAAACTCCCGATTTCCTTGGTTTGCTGCCGTCATCCTGTAGAAGCTGTGCCCCAAGGCCATGAAGGTGCCGCTGGGAAAAGAAGGCTGATCAGCTGAGTTTGAAGCAGAGCAGGCGCCAATAAAGTGAGTGAGACAATGAACCAGTTAAGAGGAAATAAGTTCACAATGCAACCACCACCAACACAAAATTGTTAATTTATTGTTATTTAGGAGGCAAAAAATGTACTGTTACAAGATTCATTTCCCAACAGAGAAGGTCAAAAAATGAGCCAAAAATATATTTTAAAAAAGGAATAATGACACTTTACAATTCATTAAATTAAAAAAAAGTAAAATATCTCCTTGTGCAATTCTGTGAAAATGAGAAAAGAGGAGGGGGAAAGATGCAGTTAGAAAGCCCCCCTCCCGCCCTGAAGGGAGCAGCTCCGTGCAGGATAGGGCCAGGCAAGGGCAGGAAGGGCCCTGCAGTCTCACACCTGTCCAAAGCTTAAGTGGGACGGGGAAGACACGGCCACATGCAGCCTGCTGCCCTTCACAGGGAGACAAGGGGGCTAGCATACAAAGCCTTTTCATGATCCTTCCCATGACCCCCTTCCTGGACCCTGTTGAGGCTGCTGTAGATTCCAGGGTGAGCAAACACCAACACAGGACAATTGCCAACTCTGCTAGGCTGGATTAATACCCCTGACCAGGAATAGCTCCTCCTTGCTACCACAGCCCTTTACCTATAAACTCAAGCACCCTATTGCCCAGTAGGGTGTGAAGCAAAGCGTCTCCCACACAGCCTCGTGTGCGCTTGAGAGAACAAGAACGCCCTCCTCCTACTCCACTGGTTTAACCCAAGACCAAAGCCTCACACCCTAACTTGAGGGACAGGCAAGTGTGTACGCTCAAGCCCTGGGCTCAAGGAGGGGGACACGCTCAAGCTTAGGAAACTGAGGGACAGCCCTTGCTCCTAAGGACTAGGCTGCGGCCTGCAGAAACACCTCCAAACTGGGCAGAGCACAATTCCTACCCGCTATGTCCTCCACTCTGAAATTTGCAGCAGTGGGATATAGGATTTGAGGGAAGCGCCTTATGCCTTGTCCAAAGGGCTTTGAAGGGAACTCTTGCATAGATGTCTCCTCCCACTGTCCCTCACGAGCTGAACAGGCCGCAAGCGTTTGGCATGAGTGGGAGGCCCAGGAACAGGGTCATGAGAAACCCAGACCACTCCAGATCTGTTATCTTGCTCTGGCAGCGCACAGAAGCCTGGGCCCTTATACTGCCTTCACACAGTCAAGGGATGTGCATCATCCACTGCCTACTTCTGTTCAGGTGCTGACTGAGAGAAAGACACCAGACCGAGAAGGAAGGTGAGCACAAAGGCTGCAAAGCGTGAGTGCCCAGCATCCACCAGGCATGCAAGTTCATCAGGCAGGGCACAGAGGGAGATGATACTGGGGAGGTTTGGGGAGCAAGCTGAGTAGGAGCCAAAGCTCATGTACAGGATTCAACATTTGGCCACTGGGAAGCATTTGCTCCCCAGGGCTCAGTGGACACTGGGCAGGAGGAAGAGATGGCACCAACTCTCCTCTATAATCTCAGACCATGAACAATACTGCTCTATGAACCTTTCCCAGAGGCTCATCCCCTAACCATAGTGCTGAGCAGCTTGGGGCAGCAGAGAGGGGAGAGACCTCTGGATCCTGTTGCAGAAGGAGAAGGGAGGGGCTTGAGGTGGAAAAGAAGGAGGTCTCTAGGGGGAAGATACTGCCCAAAGCCAGGGTCCCCTCCAGCAAGATTCCTACTGCCCCCGACTGCTCGTAACATTCCCAATACTGCGTTTGGTACTTTCCCTACCCCATCCATTTGCTGCTGCCCCACCCGCACCACCCCCTGCGACAGCTCACAGGCCCCATTTAATAACAGCAAAATTGCTTAAATTAAAAAATTAAAATATATATACATATATATATATATACTGTACACACACCGACGACAACAGAACAGTGCCAAAACCAGAGTAAGGAGCAAGGGGGAGGGGGAGGAGGCAGACAGTTTCTTTACAATAAAAACAGGAGTTCAATCTCAGCAGAAGAGGAATCTGGGGTCCCCTAAAAATACCCATCTAGGGAGAGGGAGGTGGGCGAGAGGGTTGGAAAGAGCAGGAGATGGGGGAAGAGAAAGGAGGAGGTGCGTTTGGGCTTTTACAATGGCATCTTCCCGATCCAAGACCTGGCCAAAGGGCTCTCAGCTTCGCCGGGATTTTGAGTGCTGAATAAGCCACTGTAGGGTGATGTCTGTCAAACACAAGATACGGTTAATGACCATCACGAAAAATAGAAGTTGTAGTGAGCTGCTTAGCTAGAAGTAAGGGAAACACACAGGGGCCTGTACGAGCCAAGCTCATGATACACTTCTGTAACCCTACTGCCAGCAGCCCAACATGCTGTCCTGAAGGGAATGACCTTTGCATGTGAGTGAACTTTTTCTCAACCATGGCTTTCAACAGGGGTGGGGAACCTGTGGTCCTCCAGGTGTTACTGGACTCCAATCCCAACCAGCCTGAGCCAGCATGGCCAATGGGCAGCTGCAATTCACCAATAGACAGAGGGCCACAGCTTCTCCATGCCTGGGCCTACACAAACCTTTCTTGCCCCCCTAATTATGTATGGAGGGGGCCAGACCCCAGGGGCATTCAATGTCATCACAGAATCAGTCCCACAGTGCTCACAACACAGAAGAGCATAAGGAGAGATCTCCCCATGGGCAGTCTAGGTGTCACTGTGCATTCAAGCCCCAACCGTTCCCCTTAAAATTGTCAGGCACTCTGACCCTGCAACCTCCACCTTCCCTTCTACACTCACCAATGTTGTCCTTTTCTTTGCAAGAGATTGAATAGCAACAGATCTCTCGGTCCTGGATGGCAGACAGGTTCCTGCAGGAAAAACAGAAGCACAAGAATATCAGGCTTCCTTGGGGAAAGCACTGCATACAGAGAAAGGTATCCACAATGAAATGGGCAAAACGTGCCTCCCTCCCTGCAGCAGTGACTCCTGTACCTTCTCCTGCCAGTCCCATGTATAATATCCCACTTACAATCCAACGGGGGCCTATACATGTGGATTCCATGCATACAACATCCAGTCATGGATATCTGGAGGGTCTGGAAGGCATTACTTTATTCTCTCAGAAGACAGTCTGAGCTCGCCCAAATAGACAGCTACCATCAACCTATTATTTCTAGGTTATCCAACATTTCCACAAGATGTCAGGTAAATCTATTCCTCACAAAACCAACATTTCCTGTCACCTGTATTGATTCCCCTTTAATTCCTTCGTGAACTCCAGTGCTATTGCATTGCAATTTTCTTTATTTAGTTATAGTAGTAAAGGTAAAAGCTGGCCCTTTTCTATAAAACTAAACAAAATCCACACTTCCTCTGCATATCTCTATCCTATTTAGCCATCCACTTGGGTTTCTATTCAGAGTTTCTTTAGCAATATATTTCAGACAGTCAGATGCTTTCCTTTCCCCTCCAATAATAGCTGAAATTCAGTTTTTTCATTTTTTATTCTCCCCACTCCAATGCCGCCCCAGGGCATTGGGTAACAGCGCCCACTCCTCGGGAAAGGTGCTGCTGTGCAAAAGCACCCAACAGCATGTGACAATGTGTATACATTGTCAGGAAAGACAATGGAAAGGGGCTTGACAGGAGGGGAGCTGGTGACTCCAGTTTTTGGTTTAGCCAGCAAAGCTAGCCCCAAACAGCAGCCCCATGTGGACAAAGCACCTCAGCTCGATCTCCTCAGTGGTGAACAGGGGGGTTATTACTGCTGGATGCAAGTTATCAAAATGTTAACCCTGGTAGACAAATAGCATGGGAGAAGGATAGCGCAACTCCTGTCTAGGTCTTATACACATAACACATTTGAGAATTTTCTTTTTCCTCTCTCCAGTTCCCTTCTAATCTTCCAAGATGCTCGCCTTGAACCAAGCTTTGTTTTCTTGAATTGCGCCATTTTAGCACGTGACAATCATGAAATTCCTAGACCTCCGTTCAATCACATTATCCAGCCAGTACCATAAAAAGGAAAGATGAAAACACTGGCCTGCCTTTGGCGCCACCCTGTGGTACATCACAAAGCTCCAAGGTATTTTTTATTTTTTTAAAAAGAAAAACAACAACCTGATATCAAGTCCAAGATTTCCTTGGCTCTTTGCATTTCCACTAAAACTTAAACAAATTCTGAAGCTCCATATCAATCATTGATCCAACAGAAATGGTAATATGTCCTATGGCACCTAAGAGACAGGCAAATCACTAGGCATGGCTTAAGCTTTCACAGCTTAAGCCTGTCAGACACATAAGTTCTTCCTTGCATTGCACCCTATGTACAGAGGAAAAAGCACTGTAAACCACAAGGCATATTGTACACCTCTGACATTCCTATGTAAAATGCACAGTACTGAAGTTTGTGGCCAGACCTGCTGTGTTGCCAAGAGGGGAAATATTCCTGAAGGCTTGTACACTTCTATACCACTTGGGCACATTCTGCATCCATGATTGCCAGGATGTTCACTGGTGGATTTGTCATGGGCTGTAATTAACTCAAGAAGCAATAGGGCTGGGCAATATGGAGATATATTGTCCAAAACTGGTTTGTAGTCAACATCGTGATAACCGTTTCATAGTATCTGATCTGGCAATATATCACAAATCACGAAAAACTGTGAAGCTGGTCATCGCTTTTCTCATGATTCCTGCCACCCCGTTGTAACAATATGTTAAAAAGGTAAAGGTACCCCTGCCCGTATGGGCCAGTCATGTCTGACTCTAGGGTTGTGCGCCCATCTCACTCTAGAGGCCGGGGGCCAGCGCTGTCCGCAGACACTTCCGGGTCACGTGGCCAGCGTGACAAGCTGCATCTGGTGAGCCAGCGCAGCACACGGAAATGCCGTTTACCTTCCCGCTAGTAAGCAGTCCCTATTTATCTACTTGCACCCGGGGGTGCTTTCGAACTGCTGGGTTGGCAGGTGCTGGGACCGAGCAATGGGAGCGCACCCCGCTGCGGGGATTCGAACCGCCAACCTGATGATCGGCAAGTCCTAGGCGTTGAGGTTTTACCCACAGCGCCACCCGCATCCCTAACAATATGTTAAAGGGAAGTAAAAATGTACTTAAGTACTCCTAAGTAGTAGCAGTTGCCAAGATATCACTCCATTCGCCTCTACATAGTTTCATCCTTATGTCAGGCATCATGATATTTCGGTATATCGTGATGTTTAGCTGGTGATATATTGCAATGTTGAAAACCAGATATTGCTCAGCCCTAGAAGGAAATAACACTCCCCAAATAACGTAATATGGAGCCCAAGAATGAGACACAGCCAGACAACTTGCCAGTGCCAAGACAACAGGGTGCCAAGCACATCCAGTCACCAGGGTTTGCTACTTTGTGCTCACCCACAATTATTTTAGATTTTTAGACTTCCTGGCCCTTCAGGTCAGTGGCAATGCTGTGAGTACACACATAATTCCATATTATGCCAACACATTCATGGCCCACTTTGAGCAATGCTATCTCTTGTGCCCAAATGCCTCACCTCTCCCTGAGAAACAACGGCACCATTATCATCTGGACCCATGAGAAAAAAGGCCCACTAAAGAAAGCGACAGAACATCAACTGTTGCACCTACAACTACAAGTGAGACCCTCTCCAACATGTTTTGTCAATGAACTATAGGACATAATGGGCAACTGTATTCCTTGTGTGGTAGTTATGTCATCATTAGAAGACATCACCCCAATCTTAAATACCTATCCGCCAAAAAGAAAGAAAAAATGGGACTATGCCTTACGACAAACACAGGTGCCAAGTGCACTCAAGCAACACTATTACCAAACCTAATATTATCAACCATACTGTTGGATGTTTATTCAACTGCTCAACTTCCAGTGCAACATATACCCACAGTCCAGAAATAAGGTGCCTTCTAGATAATGTTGGAATCCACCTCCTATCAGCCCCAGACAGCATGGTCAATGGTTGGGGTGATGGGACTTGTAGGCTAGCAATATCTGGAGGGTACCACATTGGCTATCATTGCTATGACCTCTTGATAATGCCCTTCTGCTGCCCACATAAGATAAACAGATCTGGCTCTATATTTTTTTTAAAAATATTTTATTAAGGATTTTCTTGTTTTACAGAAGTAAGTGTAATGCCTCGTCAAAATTAGAAACAGAATTGTTAGAACCCAAAACTAAAAATTTGTCAAGAATGTATAACTTGCTGTTGAAATGGAATACTCAGGATGAAACGGTGAAATCAGCTATGATTAAATGGGCACAAGATGTTGGACATAATATTATGTTCGCTGACTGGGAACAGTTATGGACCACAGGTATGAAGTTTACGGCATGTAATGCCTTAAGAGAGAATATTATGAAAATGATATACAGGTGGTACATGACCTCAGTCAAGCTTGCAAAAATTTATCATTTGCCCGATAATAAATGTTGGAAATGTAAAGAAACTGAAGGTACATTCTTTCACCTTTGGTGGACGTGCCCAAAGATTAAGGCTTTCTGGGAAATGATATATAATGAACTGAAAAAGGTATTTAAATATACCTTTCTGAAGAAACCAGAGGCCTTTCTCTTGGGCATTGTCGGCCAACTGGTGCCAAAGAAGGACAGAACCTTTTTCATGTATGCTACAACAGCAGCAAGAATACTTATCGCAAAGTATTGGAAGACACAAGATCTACCCACTTTGGAAGAATGGCAGATGAAGGTGATTGACTACATGGAATTGGCGGAAATGACTGGCAGAATCCGAGACCAGGGAGAAGAGTCGGTGAAAGAAGACTGGAAGAAATTTAAGGACTATTTACAGAAATATTGCAAAATTAAGGAACTTTAGGAAGATGTTGGATAGAAACTAAGAGGTTTTTAGCTGTAATGCTTTAAGAGACATGGAAAAAAAGGTTAACAATTGGGTAAAAGATTAATGGTAAGGATTTGCTGAACCAACAAATTGAATTGGAATACAAAGAAGGGAGGTATGAGGAGGTCCGGGAAATAAGAGTAAGGAAGATAGGTTATGGAACATTATTGTGTTTTTAACTGTTTTATTTTGTACGTTTTTTCTTATTTTCTACTTTTTTGCTGTATTTTAAAACTTTATACTTTTTTCTTTGTTTTGTATTTTCATGTATTTTTGTGAAACTTTAATAAATATCATTATAAAAAAAAAAAATGCCTCGTATTTTTTCCCCCCATGTAACATTTTTACAAATCCGTTTCATTTGTTGAGGCATTAGGGGGAGAAGAAAAAAAAGAAAAAAGAAAGGGGGGTGGAGAGAGGGAAGATGGATGGGGGTGGGGTCGGGTGGCGGTGTTTCTATTATGTTTAATGTATGTAGAGTTTGGTGTCAGCGTTGATCTGGCTCTATATATGAAAATGCACAGACATAATTCGGACACAGAAATGATTAGCACTCGGAAACCTAAGGGAGAACTCTCTCAGAACACACTGAGAGAAAGTCAATATGTCTACAAAGCTACTTCAAAGTGCTCTAATATGAAACACCAGGACTAGAATTTGGTAAGTGAGTTTGATTATATTGCATCTGTGGAGCTGTGGATTTCTTTTCTCCAAAACAAGAGTTGAATTGGCATAGCTAGAAAGGTAGGTGATAATACTATGACAACCGGTGTGTGTGTGTTATTTCTACACACTCTCTACTGACAAAAACATTTCATGCAGTTGGCAAAGCTGGCTCTAGTCCACAAAAGCTCGTGCCACAATAAATATGAAAGGCTTTAAAAGGGCAACACAAGACTCCATGCTGTTTTTCCTGAAGCAGACTGTAACAGCTACCCTTCTGGAATTTATGCCATAACCTTGTGAAAGGAATTAAGGATCTGCATAGCCCAGCCGTGGGGGGGGGACCAGACCTATGAGTTCAAAGCAGCCTTAAAAAACAAGCAGATGTCTCCCCATTGTCGTAACAGCAAATTTCCCCTTTAAGGAATGCAGCAAGAGATCCAAATTACTGAAGATTTTTACAGCTGAAGAAATAGATGCCTTGGCCTAGTTCTTTTTCAGTCACTTGGTAGCAGCCTCTCATCTGTTGGAAACATGTGCATGTCTGAGGGAAATAAGTGAGCAGTCAAAAATGCAGCAGCACTGAAGCAATCCTACAGCAGCCTTGCCAGTGTTGACAGAGCATGAGGTCATACCTGCCCCTTAAGAGAGCTGCATACAAGCACTAGCTCTCTTCCAGTAATTTATGTTATTGGTTATTTGCAGATTTATAAACCACTTCTGATTCTGATATGGCAAAAGATGGAGATGGGGGCAGTGATGCAGGTTTTCTGGAAAATTTTTGAATTCAAAGTAGGGTGATTTGCACTGGAATTTTTTCTGAAGCCCAAGACATCTAATACAGCATGCTTCTTTTACCTGCATTCAGCAAATAAAACTAGAAACTTGCTTGCCTAATATCACATTTGCAATTGCCATGCATTCATTGTTATTAATGAACTTATGGAACAATTTTCTGCAGAAAAGCAGTGCAGAAAATTTCACTTTCCACACCACTGAGGGAGACACGTGCAGATTCGGCAATGGGCAACAAAATGTACAGGACTTCTGATTCATTCAAGAATGCTGCTGTGATCTAGGATTATGATCTTTCAACCACACCAAACATATCCAGATCCAATTTCCCAAACTCTTAAACCGACTTGTGTGTATGAAAACCAATTAATCAGTGCAATGTGAATGCCTCAGTCAAGCTCAACAATGGTTCATTTTGAGATGCAAAAGCCCACAGTAGGCAAATACCTGTAACTCCAAGTCCTAACAGCAAATACTTACATCTTCTCAATGAGCTCCTTCTCATCCAAGGCACCAGGCAGATCTCGCTTGTTCCCAAGAACAAGGACCTGAGAAAGAGAAGAGGGCAGATCTCTCAGTCCACGACTCACATAGGCAGCTCGCATCTACCACTGGATCAGCCAAGGGTGGCTCCATTGGTTATGATAAATAAACCCTATATAGCCATGTTTTTAATAGAACTGACACCCTTGAAGCAAAGAATTTCTTTATAATCCAGGGGAACTTCTTCTAAGCATGGAATCAGAAAAGCCAGGTCTACATCACAGTGACAAGAGATGTAACACAAGAGCTTCAAACTACACGGTCAGTTCCTGAATACAAGGAAAACACTGGTGAAATTAAGATCAGCAGGGTTTCAAAAAACAAAAACCTAGCCAAATATGTCAATTACATATTTTCCTATTCTCTAATAAGCTTTTTTTGTTGAGCTCAGATGCAACGTATGCTGAAAAGGACTTCAGATTCTCTGGTGGCAGACGGACTTTGCAGAACAAGGGTATTTTCCCATTTCATGGATGGAATATTAATACAATAGCAAGCACCACTCATTTGGCTCATCCTAGACTTTCTCACCTCAAACTCACATACATTGTACCCTCAAGGACTCACAGCATTAAGGTAACAGCGGCAAGTGGTGTGTCCTTTATCTCTTCCAAATGGTGCAGTAATAAATTCTAAACAGTTTCCCTGTTCTAACCAAACCTTTTATATCTTGGAAAAGAGACATCCCAACGACACAGTCCAGCAGAGCAAAGCATGCAAATAGAGAGGAAGGATTTAATCCAGAGTCTGGTCTGGAAGGCTTGCCACTAATCATCCACTGCTAGTTATGATCCACCACACACTCATACGGATCTGTTTGCTTACTTAGCCTCTCTCCAGAACTGGAGCAACTTACAGGGATGCCCTGGAGCTGTGGCTTATCAAGCAGGTTGTGAAGTTCATTCTTTGAGGCTTCAATCTTCTCCTGGTCTGCAGCATCTACCATGTATCTGGAATGAAATCAACTACATTAGCTCTGAGGACAAGAAGCAACAGGTGCTATTGCATGGAGTAGCCAAACCAGAGGAAGAGAGCAATCTCCAGAAAGCAAGATGGGTTATACTGAATCTTCATTTGAGTCCCAGCCACTGAATATGGGGTCCTAACAAACCACTACCTTGCATTAGATTCAGTTACTCTCCCGATCCCATAAGTAGGGGGAATTGCAATTCTGAGACCACATACTTTCAGTGTGGCCACCATAATGCTACATATCAGTCCAAATTTGTAGAAATCCTTTTGGTTTGCAAACTTCATATAAACTGGTGAGAGGGCTAGTTTTGAGTTTTGTTTTATAATTTATGTTGATATTTTTTGCTTGGGGATGGGGATAGACTGATTTTTACTGAAGAGTGCAAAGAACAAAGAGCAGATCCATACAGGTGGGATTAAGTTTAAGATTTTTATCAGCCATCTGCCAACATATGTTTAAATTCAAGAGAGCTAAAAGTTGGGGCGGGGCGGTTGGAGTCTGCTGAAAGTATTTTGTTCAAGATACTTGATTTTGTGTTAGAGGGACATTCAGCATAACGAAGGGTTCAGATCCTTAGACCCACTGACCATCTATTACCAAATTCCTAAGCCGCCATAGAAATAAGGCCCTTGCCACTGCCAGTTCTGATTTCTTGTGGCACACAAATTGCTGCTTGTGCCACTACCTTAATGGGCAATCCTTATCCCTGCCCTTTTCCAGAGTGCCTCCAATGCTCAACACAAGAAGCTGCGAGGTGCTCTTGTGCAATGCAACAATTCAGCTGCTCTAACTGCTGGTTGCACAGCAGGAGCTTGGCAAACCGCATCTATGTTAAATTATTCATCGGGCAAAATGTGCTAGGCTGGCTCACCTAGAAAGCCAGCAGGCAGGGAATATGGGACGCAGTGTGCAGATTTCCTACATGGAGTTTTTATGTTATAGTAGATATCGAACAAGCACAGAACATCTGAGAAGCATTCGATAATGTGGAAATCTACAAGGAAATACTTCTGCAACTGAAACAGCATACACAGTACTGGATTTCTAACTGAGCCCAGCTTGTATTGCCTCTGGTCATTGGCAGTGGCCATCAAGGTAAGCCCAGCTGAGAAGTGCCAAGAATCTGGTATGAAGCACGCAGAAGCCCCGATCTAAGGAAATTAAAGAGCCTCTATTCTGTACATGCTGGTTTCTGCCATTCCCCAGTTTCTGCTGAATTATGTAAGCTACCCCTTAAGTGCCATGTACAAGCTGTCTGGAAGAAGCATCTATATTTTCTGCTTTTGTTATTTTGCAAAGTGCCATGTATATTGAAGACACTATATACCCCTTTTAACAGTTCTGAAGGGATAAAGGCTTCCCTTCACCCTACATTTGTGTATATATAGCTTCTGAGGTACACATAATATAGCTTTTAATGCACACATTTCATGTTTAGAAGACCAAACCCTGCAATCTGGTAAGGTAATTAAATATTCTTACGAATGGGGGCCTCAGAGAGAGATGATGCTTCTGGAAAATGGAGATCATAAAAGCATCCATCTCTGAAGGAAAGTAACTGCTTCTTGGAGCAGACTTCTTCCTTTTCAAAAATCACCTGTCTATGAATACTAGTATCCAACATCTTCTCCCAAAAAATGGCATAGAAACCAGCTTATAGTCAAGGCTGTGTAGTCTGCGCATGAACTTTGAGGAGGAATCACAGGTCAGTGGTAGAGCCCATGCTTTGCATGCAGAAGATCCTGGGTTCAAATCTGCGGCATCTCAGCTTAAAGAAAGTTGCTACTAGTGAGAACAAACAATTCTAGGCTAAATGCATGAACAGCCTGACCTGGTATATGGCAGCTTTCTAAGGAATCCCAAGGGTGTTTTTTTTGCTAAAAATAAATATATATTAAAATCTATGGCTTGAATAAATGTTAGAATTAATGAATTTGGTTGTTTTTTCCAACCTCTCTCTACCTCTAGTAGACACAGGGAAAGGAAGAAACAATACAAGGCACTGAAGCCACATTCCCTGACCACTGGAAATTCAATCCTCTCCAGTCACTCACCAGGCAATCTCCAGATCAGAGCCTTGTGCCAGTTTCCTACCAAAAAATGCCCTACACCTGGCTGCTCTTCACTCCCTGAAGGTGCTATTCTTCAAAACAGAATTGGCTCGTTTTTAAAAGGCGTACTTGTAATCTGGTGTAGCCCGGCCCTTTGGCAGAGGCGCTAGAGAAATACTTTGTCTTGCTCTATTTCAGCCCAAGAGAGGAGAGCAGCAGAATGGCTGAAGGTTATTCCGTCCACCCGTACCAGGTACTCAAAGGAATAAAGAGGGTTTCACAAAAAGCAGCACCAGCAGGAACTGAAGAGTCAGCCAAGGACACTGAGATCTTTCAGAGACAGCACAGAAGTCTGCAGCTGTCAATAAAAGGCCCTGCCCTGCCCCACAGCCTACTGACAGTGAGGGTTTGAACTGAACGGCTGCCTGAAGAACCTTCCTCCTCCTCCTGCCTTCCATGCAGTTAATCAGATTCCACAAGCAACCCTTTGTGTGTCAAAAGTGGCCTGATGCAGAAGCGGTGCTTTATTTGCAACTTTATTTGGTACAGTGCAGCTTAAGTGCAGCCATCCAGTGGTTATTTGTGTGTGCAGTAACCCTCAGAGCAGGGGCACTCACTTATGGTTCAAAGGCAGGTAGGATCCAATGGAGTCATTGTGACATTCTATAAGAAATAAAGAATGGATTTATGGAGTTGTAGTTCAACAACATCTGGAGAGCCACAGGTTCTCGGGCCTGATATAAAGGATCCCAGCCTGTGCTTAGAAGTGAAGCCACACCTGTAAGGTAGGTAAGAATCTCTTTACAGTTCCAAATGTGATCCAAGAGACAGTGGATATGTCCTGTGGAACAAAGAAGCCTCAGGGTTTATCATCTTTGCCTGAGTTTATTGGACTGATTTGATCCCACCACCACCACACGGCTCCAGTGTTCAGAGGAAGCCTAGGACTTGTCTTGAGAGTAGCGCACAGCAATCTCAGAGCTTGGTGACAGACTGAGAATCGAGGCATGGAATACTTACACTATGGCACTGACTCCACGGCAGTACCGCTCCCACATGCTACGAAAACGAGGCTGGCCCCCAATATCCCAGAGCTGTGGGGAAAGACGCAGCAAGTTAAAATATGGGTGAGGACTACGATGTGAGAATTTGCAAGCCCAAGCATTCTCTTTGACTCGCACATACTTGGCCCCACTGCCTGCTCTACACTTTCCCATGTCTTCATTTTATGCATGGTCATCCAGTCTCTCCACAGCCCACACTCTTTATTATTAAGGAAGCCATCTGAAGCACTACCAGAAGATTTCAGAGAGCCTTGGGTTTCTGAGCAACAGTGGTACAACAATGGCCACTTCACAAAAGCATTCTCACACTTGCAAATACTGTAAAGAACCCAGGTATTCAAATTACAGTATTATGATGAATTAAAATTTACTAGGATTAGCTCCACAAAACTCTTGAGTGATGGAACTGATATCCAAACTAATTAAATAATATTTGCAATGTTTTCCCGGTCAAAACACATAAATGGAACTGAAGGAGGCGAACAGTCTACTGATATATTTAGAAATCCTGCATTTAACCAGACACACTCTACTGCCACTACTCTGCTTAGGAAATTCCTTTTAGGATTCCCACCAAACACCTACTCCTCTCTCTAACAGGAGCAGAGCTAATCATTCAAATAATACACAAAAACAATAGGGTATCTAGCAATAGTGAGAGAAAGACCACCCAGAAATTCACATCCACAGTTTTGACTAGAAGACACCCCAGAATAACCTTAACTTATATTGTAAACCACCCTGTGATATATTGTATACTGCCTTGCTACCCTCAGATGAAGAGTAGTATACAAATTAAACAAACAAACACTTCTATATTTTGTCCTCATATGTATCTATAAGCAATCTTTTGATTTAAGAGTGATTTATAAAGAGTTATAAAAATTAAAAAATTAAACACATCATATAAAAACTGAATAAAATATTACAACCAGAAGCAGTAATCAATTTAGTGCTCAAATTGTGTTGGAAAACAGGGCACCATCAATAAAATAAATTCATAAACTCCATTCCAGCACCATTCAGTCTGAGTTAAACTTTTAGTCTAAAAACTGCAGGTGAGGGAGGTGGGCCTTCTCTCTCCGCAAACTAAATTCCCCAATAATTTGAACATTGAACCAATTTTAAGAAAAACTTATCAGAGCATCCCTAGAGTCCTCTAGAAAAGGGTTGGCTCAGCTTGGCACCCAGAAACCAGTTTGGTGTTATGGAACAGCAGATAGTTTTAAAAAGCTGGTGTTAATTCAACCCTGTCGATCTGCCAGTGCTTCCTTAAACCCCCAAGCTTGCCTGCAGCACTATGTTGCAAATCTAGGAGCACACTTGCCCAAGAATACTGCATCTTACCTTTATAGTAACATTTCCCTTGGTGATCTTCCTCATATTGAAGCCCACTGTTGGGATCATATCTTCATTGAACTGCCCCGACTAGAACGAAATAAAAATAGATCAGTCTTTCATATGGAAAGCTTGGCTGTTTCTGTCTACCGCGTTCCACCTTGGCTAATCAAGCTCCCCTGAGAGAAGAAAAAGCGATGAGATGTGTTCATTCCTAGAGCGAAAGAAATACCTATTTAGCATCACACATTTTGAGCACTTTGAATAATATACCAGAAGTAACCCTCAAGTATTGAGGGTTAATATCAAAAAATATTGCAATATTTCTAAACTGCCTTTCATCGTGTAAGATTCCAAATATTTTGGAGGTGGTGGGGAGGGAAAGAAACCAGAGGCAAAGCCTCTTAAGTAACACCCTCCTGGCTACCACTGAATAAACCATTGTTGGTTCTACACAACCATATGCTTCACTGGTAGTAATCAGCTGTTATATATCAGGTATTCACTGGAATACCCATTCACCAAGTGCCTACTTTGTTTACATTTAGGCACCAGGTAAACACTATTCTTTTTGCTTGAGCATTTGGGGTTGACACTTGCCAGATAGATTACAGTTTGCCTTTATGGGGCTTTAGTGCTGCCTTGGGGGCAATATTTGGAAGAGAGCGCAGGATTTTTTTCAATTTTTATTTTTAAAAACAGCTTTGTTGTTAATAGGCAGTGTTTCAACATGTCTGTAATTAAACTGTTTCTCTGCTGATGAAGGTTGAGAGAATTTATGAGGAGGCAGATAACCTTTCGATGGCAAGCACTGGAAACAAAATGTGCAGGAGACACAGACACATCAGTCCTGTTGACTGCACGGACCAGGACAACATGAAGCATCTTATAGATTGGAAGTGCTGAAACAAATCAAGGATGTGTGGGTGCAGAGAACGTATAATTTCTCTATTTTGTGCAAGGTTTTCTTCCTCTCCTTCATTGTATAAAGATAAGTGACAGGGAAGGTGAGATGTATTTCAGGAGAAATAACCTTATTAACAGACAGAGCCAATACTCAGGTTATACTATGAAAGGACATGGGAAATGAGAGTGCTGCTGGTAATGTTTTTTAAAATAAAAAATAAAAAGAATGATACTCAAGGGTTGGATAAAGTTACTTTAATGAGAGGTGTTCTTTATGCTAAGAACGCAAGTAGCAATAATGGAAGCTTGCCACCTTGGCCGTACAGTTATCTGCATGTCAATTAATTTGGTCCCCACGGCCCATTCCATATTTGGCTTCTGCTGAGACACAGCCTATAAGACAACTTAATGCAACGTCTGACAAGCTCCCTGGGAACACAACTTGCATGCACTGGAACACAGGACATGAATTAAGAGCCAACGAGGAATAAGAACTTTCACTTGTGACAGACTTGCTTTGTTCAGAGAGCAGAAACCCTGAGCCAGCATATTTTTACCCTTTTTTCCTCAATTTTGTTCTGTTGGCTTACATTTCTATAATAACTGCAGTATAGTACTCTGTGCTTTGCTCCAGCCAAAGTGCCTGCAGGGAATTAACTTTCACATACCCATTGAGCAATTCTTCAGCACTTGCTGAGTCAAAAAGGTCTATTATATATATTCTGGTCTGTTCATTTTTAACACCCAAATTTCAAATTTTACCTGTTTATTAAAAGAAAGCTTTCTAAACAAACAGCAAGTGTGCTCACAGTATGTTGCAAATAAATACAAAACTAAACACTTGCAATTCCTATAGGAAGCACATAAATATGTACAGGAAGTGTGTGAACCTCAATGAAACATTAAGGGACAAAATGGCAATGAAGGCGTCCAGTTCAGACATAACCCACCCCCGCTCCCAGCAAGAACACTTTATTTAAGGTTGACAAACTTAGAGCAGAGGAAGCAGAAAAGGGAACGGCAACATCTGCCCTGTGGAAAGGAATTATCTGTCCTACGTACAATGAGTTGCAACATTAGATTTCTCAATGTCACAAGACCTTAGAAATTAATATGTCTGTCAGCAGAGTTCAGCCCACTGCTGCTTTCTTTCAGTGATTTATGGTTTTAAGATTACCAACATTCTTAAACTTCTCTTGCTTTTAATCTGGCCTCCAAAGTTTTACGAGGCTGCGAGTCTCCAGCTCAAATCTAACTGTCAGCAATGAATTTATGTTAACTCTCTGATTAGAAAAACTGAGTGCTTTTAGCCATCAGCTTCTCAAGATATGACACATCAGCAAATCTTCCAAGGTACCGAGACTCTTCACAAAGATTTTGTGCTTATTCTCCCAGCGTTCCATTTCAAAAGGCATAACCTGATACTTGTCGAGAAAATAACAGACTGCTCGAAAACAACAAGCTTCAAAAAAAAGGCCAACCAGTACAAATTTCACCTGGGTTTTAACAAACCATGCTACTCCAGTCCTTGGGCCAAAAGGTCATTGGTGGGATGAGCTCAAGCATTCTGTTTCCCTGGTCTATAGCACTTGTGAAATAGGCTATCAAAATTACCTGGAAAATTGCGGGTGGAGTCCAATTTCAATATGCACACAGTGTATGTTGAGATTCCAGAACAAAGAGATGAACAAGTCATTTAGAGTTATGGGTAACACAAGAGGCTTTGCAGATACTGAGGTGAACGTTTGGTTTTAAAGCCTCAAAGAAGTGTGACTCCACAGGTAAACAGAAACCTTGGCCTGCCCACTGCTTCAGACCAAAGGCCCATCTAGTCCAAAACCATGTTTTCACAATAGCCAACCAGATGCCTATGGTAAGCCCACAAATAGGACATCAGCACAACAGCAGTCTCCTGTTCACAATTCCTAGCAACTGGAATTCATAAGAAAACCAACCCATTTATTATTTGAAGCATCCTGTTCTACTCACTGGCCACTCAGAATGGCTTCACAGAACACAGATGAAGGACCTATTGGATCAGAGGATGGACAGTGACCAAGTCACAGTTTCACAGAGCTGTTAAAAGAGTGACAACCACACTCTAGTAAACTCCATTTGGGGCTAACGTATGTGGAGCTATCCTTGAAGACAGTTTGGAGACTGCAGCTGGTTCAAATAATAATAATAATAATAATAATAATAATAATAATAATAAATTTATTTATACCCCGCCCTCCCCAGCCAGAGCTGGGCTCAGGGCAGCTAACACCAATAAAATTCCAGTAAAAACATAATAAGAAAAAAAGCAAAAGAAAAAAAACAATTTAAAATACAGGTTAAAATGCAATTTAAAATGCAAAAGGCTCAGCTGCCAGAGTTCTGCCAGATTTTCTGTATGGGACCACATTACACCCATACTTAAAGATCTGCAGTGGCTACCTTTTCACCACTGAGCCCAATTCGAGGTGCTGGTTTTGATGTATAAGGCTCTGAACCCAATTCCCTGAAGAAGTCCCTCTCCCCATACTGTCCACCCTGTTGGTTACACCATCTCTGAATGAGGTCAGTGAACCTGTGACATGCCAGAGGGTAACCTCAGCACTTACACCCTGGTTTTGGAATAACATTTTCCCAAGGCTTGGCTGGCACCAATATTATCCATTTTCTAGAGTTTCTAGTATGATCCTACAGGGCCTGCATTGGGACAGATGGGTGATGTACTGCTTTGTAATCTCCCTGTTTTCATTTACCATACCGTGTTTAGTTGGTTTTTATTTTGTTTTAAAAATTGCTATTACCCACCCTGAGATCACACTCAACAGTAGGGTAGTGAATAAACTGCATAAATGAAAAAAAAAAGCCACACTTTTATCAATACAACTTTCGGGGTATTTTTCCTCCCTCAATTTATTGTGACACACAAGGCTTAGAGCCAGAGGTCATGGTGCTCTCATATGACTAAAGAGCAAAAAAGACCCAAGCATTTGTTTTGAAACGACTCATACATGCACAGAGCAACTTTACTGTTTTGCCAAGAAGCGCCTGTTGAAATCTGGAGCAATTTGTTCTGCATGCAGACTATCATACAGATAGCAGAAACGCTGCTTGATAGCAGAAACTCTGCACAACAACTTCTTTTAGCTTGCCGATTAAGCCGTCTTTGTTTTCAGCTACAAATGTAGCAAGAGTACTGGAAACCAGTTCATGCCGTGATAGATACGGAGTACATCTGGGTATCCAAATTTGCTGCTCCTCTTTATCTTCATCCCCTTGAAGTTATTTTGAGTGCCAGTTAGTCTATTGAATTATTGTTCAGAATTCAATTATTACTGCTGTTAGACAATCTGTCAAATCAGTGAATTTTGTGATGGATTTTAGTAGTTGTAAACCACTTTGGGAGCCAATGTTGGCTGAAAGGTGAGATAGAAATATAATTTATCTAACAAATTATCTAAGTTGGCCCCTTTGCTCAATAACTTCTTCATATTTTTCATTTGGGAAAACAGGTCTTTGTTTACAAAAACCCACTTGTAGACTTCTGAAACTCTCCCATATTTGGATATGTACATATATATTTAAAAAAAGATTGACAACCTGCTTATTAATAGAACCAGTGAGACCAGCAACACAATGCTGTTGTGCCCCTCTATCCCCTAAGACTGCTCTATTAGCGGCTCCAGCCAGTCTGGAAAAGGATCCTTTGAGTGCTTTTCAGATCTCCCAGGGGAGGGTTCCTGAAAACCTGTCACCTCCTATTTAGTTAAGAAAGGGGCAATATTTTCAGATAACTAATATGGGAACCAAATCTTTCTGATACAATAGTGTCCATCTGGTCTCAAATTTTTATTATATTTATATAGTATTTTGTGAAACTGACACTGACTCAATACTTGAAATAGTAAGGTTCAGTTCTTAAACTTTCCAGTGGCTTCCTGGGGTGGGGGTGGGTGTACATTTGTGTAAAAGTATTATGTCCATCAACTTCCCTATCTTCAGGATTGTTCAGGATTGTTTCTGCACCCTAAGCAAGAGTTTGAACTTCAGCTGACACACAAGATAGTAAATATTAATAATGATGCCTGGATCACAAAAAACCCTGTCCACCTTTTGAATATCAATGCAGAATAATTCACAGTTCAAATGACAAATGGTAACTATGTTTAAGAGCATGGCAAGCATTTCTAAGTAAAGTGCAGTGTCAGGGATAAGGGAAAAACACAGGGCATTTTTTCTTTACATGGTTAATATGCATTACCCAACAGAGATGTGCTCAGTTTGAGTGCATGCGCTCATAATTGGTCATCCTTATTGGATAAATGAGATCAGGCCAATCTCGTTTGACAAATTCACCGCAACCTGCTGAGTCACACTCAGTTCAAGCACACCACTGAGCATCTGGCACCCCTGAAAATATAAAAGGTATTTCCTACGAAAACGGAAAGCACAAAAGATGAAAAAAGCCCACTGTGGTGCACAGCTTCATACTGCACACAAGTAACTGAAACAAGAGAAGCAAAACTATGCTAAGGAAAGATTATACGTCTTTGAAGAAACACTTGCCAATATGTTTTCATAAGCCAAGGCTTTTAAAAAAGCAATAAAGAAAGGCCTACAAATACTGGACAGCCCAATTCAAAATAGCAAGTGTGATTTGAAGGGAGCGCACACTGTGTGAAAGGGTGGCTGTTTTTGAAAAACAAGGCCTTTTGGACTCCAACAAAGATATCCCCTTCTAGAATTTTAATCTGGAAGAAATCCCAGCCTCAAGAGACACTACCTGCTTAGACTATTCTCAGCTGTTAGTGGTTCCCCAATCCCACCCCAAGGATTCTGGAGAAGGTAGTCTGTGATAATTCTTAAATCCTTATCTTCCCTCACAAAACTAGGGTTCCCAGGAGTCCCTGAGGCACAGGAATGATGCCTAAGTCACTCTCAGTCTCTGGTGTAGATTTATGTTCTATAGGTTTAATGCTAAACAGTGCAGAACTAAGTTAGCCCCATTCTCCAAATGCTTTAACAAATATGACCTCTTATCCCCACCGCATAGGCAGGTCAGTTCATTTGGAAGGAGATGCACAACATTAAACAAACTCACACTAAAACATACTGTAAGAGGCAGGCCTTAAGCTGGTGCCTGAAAGTGGCAATTTATTCTGTGAAGAATGCACAAGTTTCAACCACAGGTGCTGCTGTGGTCTAAACCACAGAGCCTAGGGCTTGCCGATCAGAAGGTCGGTGGTTCAAATCCCTGCGACAATGGGGTGAGCTCTATCACCTAGCAGTTCGAAAGCACGTCAAAATGCAAGTAGATAAATAGGTACCGCTCCGGCAGGAAGGTAAATGGCGTTTCTGTGTGCTGCTCTGGTTTGCCAAAAGCAGCTTAGTCATGCTGGCCACATGACCTGGAAAAACTGCGGACAAATGCAGGCTCCCTCGGCCTATAGATCGAGATGAGCGCCGCAACCCCAGAGTCGTCCGCGACTGGACCTAACCATCAGGGGTACCTTTACCTTTTATATTCTTTAGAGATGCTTTTGGTATATTCTACCGAAAGGTTTGGGACAATAAGCATCTTCATATCATGGTCAAAACATGTTGGACATCATCTACAAAATAGACCACTACTTTGGGTGTACTTTTATGATGTGTTTAATAGGTTTCCCTCAAACTTTACAATGTTACATCTATTTCTGAAAATAATACAGGTGAAGAGCTCTGATTCTGTATGAGTGTAGCTACTGGTCCCAATATTTCCATCTTTCCCAATAGTCCCTCTTTATTTTTGCTTAAACATAGTGTTGTTGTTTTAAAATATGATTTTCTGAAGCTAGAAATATTTTACACACATGAACCAAAGCTGATAAAGTTAAGAGTTTAGAACTACAGTATATAGCATAAAAAGGGAGTGTGAATGTGCATGCTGAAATCAGTGAAGCAAACTGGTTTCCTAGCATTTTGTGCACACTAGGGCTGGATGATACATCAATATAATCATCCAAAACAGGTTTGAAGTCCGTATCATGATACTAATGACCTGGCAATATATCATGAAATCAGGGTGGGTGGGTGGGTGTTGTGCAAAAACAACGAAGTGGGAAAATTGTGTAACCAGCCAATGTTTTTACATAGCTCCATCCTTATTTCAGACATGGTGATATATCAGTATATTGCAATGTTTAGCTGCTGATATATCACAATGTTGAAAACCAGCCCAGCACTAGTGCACACAAGAGCACCATTCCACCAAAATTTTGAAGAACCACATTTAGAATAGGATGCAAACACATGGAAAAGAAAAAGTTTTACAAGGGGAAAGATAGGCTTTTAACTTGAATGCAACAGACCGTGTTTACTTTGCAGTGCTCTTAAACCACAAGGGGTATGCATGGAAAGAATTAAGTGCCACGAATACATATAAATTTGAATATGTCTTAACAGAGCACAAAAGACTTACTTTTAAAAAAACATCACAAAGGAGCTTTAAAGCAAGCATGTAGACATGCCCTGAGGGGTAATCATGCAGCACTGAGTTCTCATGTGTTGAAGAAAACAAGAGAAAGTGATGACTGATCACAACAGCAAAAATAGTCGCATGCAAATAGTAAGCAAGCTCATGCTAAAAACATATGAAGCAGCCCCAAGATATTTTAGCTGAACAGGAATATGTAAAATAATGTGCTTATGTGCAATGTAGAGTGCCTCTCTTCCTGTGCCTACGGAGCAAACACACAGCCTATCTTCTTACATTCTTAAGAAGAAAACGTTAGGCTTTTCTGGGCAGCTGTTAACTCTCTTTTTAGAAATTAAGCAATAGGCCTGTCTATGCAAAGCATGCACTATCACTGAACTACAGTCACACCCCCTTATCATCTCCCTGCTGCTTCAACTTAGAAGCTCTGAAGTTCGCATAAACCAAAACGCCCCAGCAAAGTTCATCAGCTGCCACCAAAACACTTGCCCTTTTTCTATTGTAATCAGATTTTCACAAAACTCACACATTAATACAAGACTGATTTTCTATATGAGATACATATTTTACACATTTATTCCATGAAGTTTGCAAATCTTTTTACCCTGAGGAAAATGGTTTTATCTAAGCCAGGGGTGGCCAACTCCCAAGAGACTGCGATCTACTCACAGAGTTAAAAACTGGGTTCAGGTCAAAGTTGTTGAGGCTTTTTAAAGAGGAGCCAAAGTTTTTGAGCTTCTTTGGGGGGTGCCAGTGATCTGCCAGTGATCTACCGGTAGATCATGATCTACCTGTTGGATGTGCCTGATCTAAGCAATCATCCCCCCTCCCACAAGCCCTCTAAACTTAGCCGTGTTGCATTCATATTGCTCTAATAGGTAGAGATATTGTTGTCTGCAGGAAATATCAAGCAGACAACTGTATCTAGTTTATTCAAGGATAGTAGTGATCTATCATGGCAACTTCAATGTGCACTAATTAAAGAGAGTTCACAAATTAAGAGAAGATGGAGCTTTGATTTCAAATAAAATAGGAGGCATTAAAGTTGTGACAGTTTTGACCTCATATGGCCTGTAATGTGTCAGTCAGAATGAAACTGGGACTACAGTCTGATTTCAAGAGCATCCAAAGCTCATTATTAAAGTGGCTACCCTAACTACGTTAGAACCCTCCTGCTGGTTCAGACTGAAGACCCATCTACGTCCTGTTTTTGCAGTTTGCAAGCAATGGGAACCCTACAAGCAGGGCATGAGAACGGCAGCACGTCCCTATATACTATCTCTGATATTGGAGACAATATATAGCAAACATTGCTAGCTTTGTCCTCCACGTCCAATCCCTTTGAAAGCCATCCATGTTGGTGGCCATCTCTACACATTGCAGTAACCTATTCCAGTTTAACTATGAACTGTGTGAAGGAGTAATCCATCTCATCTGTCCTGAATCTCCCACCATTCAACTTTCTTGGATGACCACAGGTACTAATATTACAAGAGAGGGGGAGAGAAATTGCACGTAACTTTGGGGTAACAGTACACACACACAAAATCCTACAGCATAGTATAACCTAAAGTTGCAACATTCAACATATCAGAACAGCATTCCAAGAGAGATACAAGCAGTTGTTGAGATTATTTCAGTCTTTGCCAGCACACACAACCTGATTTTGAGGGATCAAGATCAGAAAGGTGACCAAAAGTCAATAGTAGTTGGTGCTTCTTGCATCAAGTAATTCAATTGGAACCAGTATTTTACCTGTTTTTCCATCTCCCTCATAAAACTCCTTTTAATGTTGCCTCCAGATGTGGAGATAAGTGCACATTTAAATTTGCCCCCAGGTAAGTGCAGTTGAACTGTCTCCTCTTCCTTCAACTTACAGAGACCCATTAGAACAAGATTCAAGCCACTACCATAGGGTATTTTTTGGCTAAACAGTCCTAGGCAGCACATGAAGTACCTTCTCAAAGTCACGCAAAATTTGGAAAGCTGCAATTAATGAGGTGCCACTGACATGCTAAAATTGTGTGCCTTTAGATTTACAGCCCATGGTGCCTGCCACAACCATAATGCAATGATCTCGTCCCTCGGCCTTTTCTCATTTATTCTGACAACAATCCTGTAAGGCAAGTCAGTATCATCTTCAATTTATAGGCAAGAAGCACAGTTCAGAGGTAGACCTGCCTCTCTGCAGGTCCATTTATAATCACCGAGTTGAATCCAAGCTTTCCAATCCAATATGTTAGCCCAGCGATTCTTAAATGGGAGTCTATAGCATGCACTTTAGGCAATTCCCAAGACAACTACAAAAGCAGAGGGAATTGCTAGAAATCTTTCCAGAGTAATGAAAATGCTCTCTCATCTGGATAAAGTTGCACTGCATATGAAGAGAATGCAACAGTGGTGCTAGGTAGCAAATAAGCATTGTTAAGTTTGCAAAAACCTGGTGTCATTGAGACAACTCTAGCTTTTGTGCTTTGTATGAATGTGAATGCCACAGTAAAGAACATACACGCCATTTGTCATGTCTGCAGGGCACATGCATTTCCAGCATGCTACTTGTCCATTTAAAATACGTACTCTAGAACAGAACCTAATAACCTTTTCTCCAAGTCCCAAAATGAAGAGCAAGAATAAGCTCTAGGGTGTTTGTCTATCAAGCTGCCTTATTCCAAGTATTCCAACATGTAGCCTGTTAGTTGCAGTGTTTGAAACTCCCGTTGTTATAGGGGCATTTTGTGACAGTTTGCCAGCAGTTTCTGAGCTCTGGGCATAGTACTGATCTTACGATTTCAGATTAAATCTGCCACTGCTAGAAGAAAAGGAGGAGCTTTTTCTGCCTCCCCACTTCCAGCCACTCTTTGAAGACTGGAGAAGGGAACCTCATAAGAATATTCAGAGGGGTGGGCAGGGGAAGTATGGCTTTGTTTTTTGAAGTCTTCAGATGAGGACTAGACCATGTGAAAAATGAACAGAAGATTCTAGCTGCAGAACTAACTAAAATGGTTACTGCAAAATATGCAGGAATGAAAGATAAATAAAATGAACCAAGGAGAGAGGAGAGACGTTGTGGGATATCTAACAGTATGTAAAATGTTTATTGTAAGATGGAAAACTGAAAATTGAATTAAATTTTTTTTTTTTAAAGATAAAAAGTATTCAGTACACTTGGGCTCCTATTCACGCACTGTTGTCAGGTAGGGTACACACATTTTTAAATTATTTTTTTGCAAATTTAATGAAGAAAAAAAGAATAAAATAAAATAAAATAAAAATGTATATAAATAATAGTGACAAAAAACCCACCATTGGTTTGCAGTCTGAATACAGTAGCCATCAGTACATTCATATTAAGTTAAACATGTAAGTTAATATAAAGCTCTCCAAATGTCCACACAAAATTGATGTCTATATGAAATACGTTCAGTTGTAGTTATATGTATGATTTAGTTGAGATTCCTGCATCACAGGGGGTCAGACTGGATGATCCTCAAGGTTCCTTCCCATTCTATAAGTCTATTATTCTAGACAGGACCACGCCATCCTCAGAACATTGTGTAATGATTGAGGGTATTCATCCTTCTAGGCTCTAGTATCAGTCTCTTTTGTTGCCCTCACTACATCTCAATGATTTTGTCAACATAAAATGCAAACACATTTTGAAGCAGTAGAGCTCTGCTTGCTCCTCCCTGATATCTTACGCTTAGGGTAGTTCCACTCCAATACCCACAAGCTGAGGTTGCAAGGGAAGCCCCTATGCATGGGCTTATGCCCCAGTTCTGCAAATATCTGTTGCCCCCAGTACACAGCTCTCCAAGGGAGTTTACGCTTTGGACTGGCTAGCCAGCCAGGTTTAGAGTCTCCCGGGAAATGCAGTCTAGACAGAGCACATGGTTGTAGCTGAAAATTGAAGCAGTGCAGCAAGGAAAAAGTGGCTGACACCAAATAGCTACTGTCTAATGAGACACAGATTTTCACCAAAGGGCCAATAAATTGTCTCCTATAAAATCTATTCCGTGTATTTTCAGGACCCTGCTTGTGTTCAAGCACCTACTATTGCCATCTGCAAGGACAGTGGTTATGACTGCATCCTATTACGGCAACAGGAAAGCATGCACATAAACAAGGGCAGCCTTCAAGGGCTCGGCAGGTGACAGGAACCTCTAGTATTCGCTACATTTGTAATAGGGCAGGAACATGCCAGATGTTTCAGGTTTATCCTTGAAAGTGAATTGTTTATGTATTTTTAGGCCTATATAATCCGTCTACACCAGCCTTCCCCAATCTGGTGCCCTCACGATGTTTTGGCTTACAACTCTGATCACTTGCCTCGATAGCTGGGAGTTCCAATAGTTTGGAGAAATGTGGACCTACGCTATTATTATTTATTTAATTTATGAATTGCTTCCCATGAAGCACTCAGAAGTTATTCACAATATGGTGACATACATAAACCAGCTACATATAGAAAAACAGTTAAAACAATGGCCTAGATAAGAACAATAAAAAACAACTATAAGTATAAAAACAATTTAACACAACAGGACATGCATCAAATCAAATCAATTTCAAGACAGATACTATTTGGGATAAAGATTAGAAGGCTTGTTGAATGAGACCACTTTCCCTCATCAGGACTGTCAAATGAAGGCTTTGATGGGTTGCAGTAAATTCTCATCTAGAGATTTCTCGATTTACGCATATTCAGTTCCCAGGAGCTTTATCCAGCCTTGGTAGGCTAGAGGTTTACAGTGCTGGAAAAATACTTGTACAGGAGGTAACCATTTCTCATGGGGGTTCCGTTACCGGCCCCCGAGTACATCCTGCCCCGTTCCACCCAGCCCTGGTTCTGCCCTAATTTTGCCTTCTTTCTGTGTCCAAAAGGACCTGTTTTGTCGGTAATTGCACGTCCATTGGATGCACCTAAAATGGTCACTACTTGTAACAGTATGACACTTTGGGGGGGGAGAGAGGGGATTAGCAGGCAATACTAGATTTTAGGTGCAATTCATGCCCAAGTCTGAATCAAATTCTTTGGCAGCAATGATTTCTGAGTTCTGTATGTTAAGGGATTTGCATTTTTTTTATGTTTGCAAATGTGGACACCCCCCCCCCCCATCTGACTTGTGTCAGTCTGCTGTCAATAACCTTCTGCTAATATTACAAATATATTTTGCTGGAAGTATCCAGTATTTTGGACACATGTCAAAGGTGACAGGATCCTTCAAATGCTGTTATTAGGAGAACCTTGATACCGAAATCTCAGGTCACAGCAGACTTGCAGCAGACAGCTTTATGATGGACATAAGCAGTTAGCATCCTAAACAGGTCGCCTTCTGATAGTTGATAACGTAAATCACAAGAAACAAATATGATTTTCCTTGAGAGAAGATGAAAATAACACTGAAATGTAACAGAACCAACAATGAGACCTAATCTGCTATGGTAACGCAGCTGCTTTGATCTATCATAACTGCAGAAAACTGTGAGCCAAGGACAAGCTTGAGAGAGAGGGCCTTACGCAGAAAGCGCTGCTCTGTAACTCACTGCAGGATGGGGAGGGAGGAAGGACTGCAGAGAATTGAAAGTGTCTTCTGTATCTACTCAAATGCAAAAAAAAAAAAAGGGAAAAGACCAAATCTTCAGATGTAACTCTATCAAAACTTATGGGAATAGGAACAAGTGATTATATGAAGTCATATTGCTGCCAGCATTAAAGCAGATGTGCTGCTAAACACACACACACTGACTGTACTCACTTACTTGACCTACATTTTAAGATATCTACACACTGGTGCATGGAGTGAGCTAGAAACTGTTATGTGTGAGTTGCTGATTTCTTTGATGTTTATCTCTCTGTTTCATGACTGTACAGAAGCACAGATTTGTTTGTTAATAAGCAAGGATTACAACAGCAGAGTAGGTAAAAAAAAAAAGGGGTGTGGGTTCTATAGCTCATAATTAGGAAATGGTTCAACAGCATGATTTGATATTTAACAGTGTATAGGAAAAATCGGTTTGAGGGCAGCCCATGCTGAATTTGGAGTAGAAATGGTAAGAAATTGCTTATTCGAAGTGAGTTCATTTAGTAAGAGACTTTGGCAAGCTGGTAAGTGGTGTGTGTTTTCCTTCCATCGACTTTGATGGGGAGGGTTTCTTTGTTTGAACTGTGTCTTTTGGGAAACTGTTTGTTGTGTTAGGTCAAGGCAAGGGTCTACTTGGTATCTGCCATTATTCATGAGTTGTGTAACATGTTTGCAGTTTTTATTAAAAAGGGCATTTTGGTGGCCAATATTACTCAATGCAGTTTCGTAAGTGTGCGATCCCCACCCACCCACCCCCAGTATGAACCTGATATGGATAAGGTTCTGAGTGTGGGGGCTGTTGAATGGCGTACCGGGTGAAATGAGAGAGGGAGAGAGAGAGTCAGAAACGCTTTGAAAATGACAGTGTGTGGTTGTGTGAAACAGAAAAGAATGGGGGTGGAGGGAAGAGATCAAAGTACTCACAAACCAGGCTTCAGCCTTGAAGTGCTTAAAGTTCAGTTAAGTGGTTAGGTGTGAAAAGAGATGGGCAGAAGAGACCACAGGAAATGTGTAAAAACTGAGAGGCATTGAGGGAAGGGGAAAACATTTCTGGGGTGCACAATGACTGGATTACTGATAGACAACTTTGAAAGGCATAGGACATCTTCAGAATAAAGGGGCAGGAGATTTAGGGGCCACCTGTGTGGTTCTATATGTGCTTTACCTGCTGAATTTCCACTTTTTATATTAAACCTTTAAAAGCTAGGCTTGGCGACTTACTGGAAAATTCATGGCAGGGATTCTAACAATGAACCAATGCATAAAAATAAGCCTGGGTAATTGTAGGCCACGAGAACCACAAATCCCCCTGCTAATGTCACCCAATGAGCTGGCTGTTACTGGTTGAGAAGAAGCAGCCAGTAAAAGTTGGCAACCCCATGAGACACACAGCAGCCTCATCAGGGGAAAAAAACTGGTAATCCTTATTTCTAATCTCTTAATCCTTTTAAAATATGAACTAGTTGTTACGGGTAAATTTTAGAAGGACCTGTAGCCACCAAAAGTTGGCAATCCCATTGAAGATAGGAGCCACAGGAGAACCTTCAGAAAAAAGGGGAGAGATTTAGGGGCCAACTTTACAGCTCTGTGTGTGCTTTATGTACCAAGTTTCCTCCTTTCTTATTGCAGGTTTTAAAGGCTATGCATGTGAATATGGCCATTTTCTGTTGAGGGATACATTCAACATTCTCCCTTCCCCAAAAGACGGCACATGTTCTCTGAAATAATGTGATGCTTCTCTGGGAATCATTCTCCCTCTGATGGATAGAAACACTCTGGGGAAAACCAGGCAACTCCACTCCCACAGCAGTTTCATGAGGTTGTGCATGTGCGAAAGCTATGATGAGGTTTGTTTTGTTTGGGTACAGCAGGCTCTAAAATCTCTGCTGGTTTTGTCAACAATTCTTTGCTATTAAGTTTAATGCATATTTTGCAATATAACATAAGAGCGTTGCAAGCAACTAAGAGCAGCTAAACTGTCCACTACTTCTCCTCCCACTGCCACCTGCTCCCTCTGGTCTCTTACCCTGCTTTTTATTTTTCCTTGCTGGACTATCGTCACAAGTCTTCAGACTCCAAGACAGTGTAGGCAGCCCAGAAAGGCATGTGGCATGATTTTTTTTAACACTGAGAATATCTGTACCACTCTTTTCTAGGATACAATGGGCAAACCCACACAGCTTACCCACATGGCTTCCCCCCCTTACACAAGAAAATATAATTATGATACTGCTCTCCCTGCACAGCACTCTCCCTCTGGGGTGGAATCTCTAGTAATAGAAGGAGGGGCACATTTTCTGCCATTCACCTGAAGGCACCAGCAAGAATCTGTGGCAAGATAGTTCAGGCAAGGAAACAGTCATGGCTTGCATAATAATGTCAAAATCATTCCGTACTACATAACTGGGAAGGTTTACAAAGTAAAGCACACTAGAGTCACTTCCAATTTTCTTCAAAACTGTGACCACATCTAAGTGACCCCGATACAGAATATTTCCCCTTCAAATCTCTGCAAAAAAACAACAACTATCCGGTTCCTTCTTTCAGGATACTATATCCAAGTTGCACATATGGAATTTCATGCTCTATCATGGAAGGAATCTCCGGAAGTCCATTTCATTTTTTAAAACCCCAATTTTCTAATCTTCTAACCTTTTACAATTTGCTGAGCAGCATGCCTTAATGACAACCCTGTGTGTGTTTACCCCTCTCCCTTTAGATGAGATCTTGCACTATATATTCCTACTTTCCAAGCGACACATTCTAGCCTTAATATGAGTTCTAGAACATAATTGTGTTAAGAAGTTCCACAGATTAACTGCAAGCTTCCAGCAACAGGCAAATGTTTTATCTAGCACAATCATATTTGAGAGATACAGTTTCCTCAAATGTTTTTTGGAGCGTTACAATTATTATTATTAAAAACTTTTAAAACTGGTAACATGTTAACGAAGGAAATAAAACTAACAATAAAAAGTCAAAAACATTTCCCATGAAATTTGGCATTTGCCTGTAGGGCAATCACTCTCCATCTGGCCAACTGTCCCTTTCAGAGGGTGCAGACAAGGAGGTTGAAGTTGTCCTTAAGACAGGGCTGTGTTGTCTATTAACACGGTGTAGGGCAGTTGCGCTGCCACCCCCACATTGTGAATCCAGAACACAGGCTAATGGATAGCCCAGCAGACAGCAGCAGCAAGAGGACGGACATGTAGCAAAAGATGAGAGGCACAGCTGGTGGGTAGTCAGCCACCGCCTCAACAGTTATTTGAAAAGATTGTTTTGGGTCTTTCCATCAAACGACAGAAGAACAGATGGGATGCGTGTCTCTTTCTACTGCAGATTTTGCTCCCCATGGTTCCAAATACAAGAATGGAATCAGACTGTTCTCCCAGTGAACTCAGAATAGCATACATGGCACAAGGGGGAGGGTGGAATTATCCCACTTTAGCTTCACCCCCCGCAATTGTGTGAGGTAGATTAGGATGAAGGAATAGGATTGGACCATCAACTGAGCAGGAATCTGAAACCAATTTTCAGATTTCCCCCACTTCAAAGGCCAACACATTTTATAGCAGGAATAGGAAACCAGTGGCCATCCAGATGTTGTTGGGCTAACTTCAATCATGCCTACTAGCTTACTAGCTGGAGGGTCATGGATACCAGTTCTGGGTTACAGCCTGCCTACCATATACTAACGCCAACCTCTTAAAACTGCTTTTCAACAGGGCAAATATGTACCCTTATTCCTCTTTGCTTCACTCTGGCTCCAGGTCTACCAGAATGAATCCTGCAATAACGATGAAGTCTGCTAAGAACTGCCAGATTTGGAAGTCATGGAACTCAAAACAAAGGTAGGCCACCAAGGTAGGCTGCACCAATCCACTTCTTTCTGTTGTCCTTTGACCCCCCTTGCATATACTGAAAGTTGCACATCAATCATGCTCTGTTATTCCCCAAGTCCATTGCCATGCAGTACACAAGCATGTTAGATGACCCCACTGACCCTTCCAACAAGGTGCCCTCCTCTATTTCATCTGTCATATGTTGTCCTCTAACATGACCCCTAACTCCTTGTCTCTTCTACTTCCTCTTATTTACTATGCAACATCCCTTTATCATTCTTTGGGTTTTTTGCCAGTGTGAGAGCCAGTATAGCATACTAGGTTAGAGGGCTAGAGAAAGAAGACTCAAGACCTATGGCTCTCAGTTTAACTTACCTCACAGGGTTGTTATGAAGCTGAAAAGCAAATCTATGCTGCCTTGAGCTCCCAGGAGGAAAGCGATTATATAAATGTGATTAAAAAAATTAAATAAATGCTGTAATCCTACACACATTATACAGAAACAACCTGATGACAGTCATCACTGCCCACCTTTCCCCAGCAAATTCCACACATCTTGAATGAAACCATTAACAATATATCGGGTGAAGCTTCTGACAAGGCCTATGTGGCGCCTTCACTTTCAGGGTGTTAGGTTCCTGCCCAGCCCCAGGTCAAAAGGAGGAGGGATTTCTTTTCCTTTTTTTTACATTTGTACAATCAGGTGTGTTTTTGTGCAGTGATTACACAAAAGATTAGGCTAAAATGTTACCTTTTTTCACCCTCCGAAAGTAGTTATTTATTAGACATTTGCCCAGCCTGCTTTCCTGGAAGACTCTGGACAAGTAAGGAACAAACAGAATGACATCAGACACTAAAACAGCAAAACCTGACTTACTGAGAAGAGAAGCTTTCATCTGTTGTCTATCTCAGAACTGGTTTGTTTACATATTTTTAAAGAGACAGGGTAACCTTATCATACCTGTCTAAAGTACCATCTAGCTATATTACAAGAAGCACCTAATAAATCCTTTTATTGATGTGCACAAAATATTCTACTGCACATTTTTAAAAAATTCAACAACACTCTGTAATGACTGCTTCAGGCATGGCATTACACCACAGAAAATATTATCCTCAGCAAGTAATGTGCTCTCAATTACGTTGCCATATAATACAATACATTCTCACAAGTGACCTCCCTCCTTCCAAAAGTGCTTATGTGGATGATCTGATGCAGCCTTATTTTCCACTTCACACAAGCACTTGCAGAGCAACTATGTATATTTAAAGGAGCTTTATGTAGCCATAAGACATTCCTAAAGCCATACAGAACCACAGTTAACACACTGATAAAGTCTTTTAGGAAGGACATAACGTGTCCAAGGACACTGTCTCTTTCTCAAGATGGTAGCTTTACTTGAGATGGCTGTTAACAAGAATGAATGCTGCAACAGGATATAAGTGTACCACTGCTAACATGACCAGTCCATTCAGTCTACTATCATCAACAACTGAGTGTCATTGTTTCTGTCAAATACAATGAAATAAACCACTCATCTTCTAGAATTGTTGGCTGCATGCACCCCATACATTTAAAGCACATGATTTCACCCCAAAAATCCTAGGAACTGTACCATGTTGAGGGTGCTGAGAACTGTAGCTTTGTCGGCAGTACACTAGTTCCTAGGATTCTTGGAGGATGGTCATTAGCTCTAAATGTATGGTGTGTCTGCAGCCACTATGTAACGAGGAAATTCATTCATAAATGACCTCTAATATTGATTCCCAACTGAGGAAGGGCAAGCAAAAAAGAAAAATAACTTCATATGTGCAATCCATAAGAGCTATGTCAGTAAACCCTACAACAATCCTGTAAGGAAGACCAGTTTTATTCACATATTACAGGAGGGGGTGGGGAGACCGAGGCAGCAAGCTGGAGACATGTCTAAGGCAACCTACTTAGCACATTCCTTCCTTGATGAGTGGCTTAAGACTCACAGTCTTCAGCACAGCATTGGTGCATCCCTCCAAGGGCATGAGATTTCACAACATGTGAACAGAGCAATCATCAAGCAATCCCTGTTCTGCAGTGCTTACTACGCATCAGCTGTCAATAAACATCTTGAAACAGGATCTTTTTATTGCTGCTAATCATTTATTTAGCCATGCTGAACAGTATATGCTAGGTGCTGTATGGGACACAAAAAGAAAGGCCCTGCATTAGCCAGATAAAAATGGGGGAAAGAGTTGGGAAAGAAAGATACTGTATAGAGGTTTCTACAGGCAAAAGAAACAGCATGGTAAAAGACTGGAGTGGGAGAGAGAGACAAAGGCAGCTGAGAATAAATGAGCTTGTATACTCCAGGACGACTCTTTAAGTCTGACACAAAAGTAGGGCTGAAGAGAGTGGTAGGCCTCTCACTGTGCTGGCTGGCTGCTTACTCATCTCTCTCCCACCTTCAACTTAAAAAGGCTCCAGCTGTAACCAGAGACTGGTGAAGATTTCCTCAGCATATGCTCTGCTCTGTCTTAGCAGTGGGCAGAAGGTAGGTTGGGATCTACTGAGAGATCTATGAATGATTTGGGGTAGATCAGCAAGGAATCTGACTCTCCAGTTGTTTAGCAACACAGAGACCTTTTTTCTTCTAAATTAGAGTGAAAAGATGAAGAAAGCTGGCGCGAGGTGGAGAAACAGGAGTGGACCCTTGTGTGATAGGCCCGTAAGCTCAGTAAGTTCTGCTACTGAAAACAAAAATTCCAAGAGTATGTTTCCACCCACCCACTATTATGTACCTGGCTCTAGTCAGTAGATCTGAGAGTTCTGCTTAAACAGAGAAGATCTCACAAGCCTGAGGTCTACCTGCCCCTGCTCTATATCATCCCAAACACTGAAATTAGCAGTCACTGCAAAACAATTTTGCACAACAAGGTGATTCACCCATGGTATTGTAACACAACGGTTATGCTATGGCAGTATGCTGGCAGCTTGGTATATAGGAGGACCAGGATCAACCTAGTGATGATGTAGGAGATCTTAAATTGGGGGGGGGGGGAGAGAGATAAAATGTCCTTATTTTTGACACCTCCCCACCCATCCCATCTACCTTTTTTAACCTTTTGAGGCCAGCTGACACCATGGGGAAATGTAGTTTCCATGGTTCCTGTAATCCAGGAGTGAGGAACCTTTTTCAGTCAAAGGGCCCCATTCCCTTCTAGACAACTTTCCAGGGGACACATGCCAGTGGTGGTCTGGGTCAAAGGGTAGAGCAATGAATGTAACCTTTACCTTACTATGTTGGGTAGTTTCTACACATGCCCTCAGAGCCTTTCTCTATCTTTCAGCCAGGCAATCAAGAGGCATTATCAGAATTCAAGAACACTTTCCAGCCAGGCAAAAAACACTCAAGGAGGGGGTGAAGCAGCAGAAAAAGGGGTGTTGTTTGGGCTGAGTCCCAAGGGCATGAGAAATCAGAAGCAGCCTGCTGGCTCACTCTAGTGGCCCATCTAGTCCAGCATCCTGTTCTCACAGCGCCCAACCAGATGCCTATGGGAACCCCTAAAACAGAACCTGAGCACAACAGCACTCTACCGGCTTGTGATTCTCAGTACAGTGGTGCCTCGCAAGACGAAATTAATCCGTTCCGCGAGAGTCTTCCTCTAGCGGTTTTTTCGTCTTGTGAAGCAACCCTATTAGCGGCTTAACGGATTAGCGCTATTAGCGGTTTAGCGGCTATTAAAGGCTTAAAGGCTTAGCGGATTAGCTGCTAAAAGGCTATTAAAGGCTATTAAAGGCTTAGCAGATTAGATAAAGGGGGGGGAAGCGAAAAAAAAATCTCAAGACTTGCAAGACATTTTCGTCTTGCGAAGCAAGCCCATAGGGAAATTCGTCCTGCGAAGCAACTCAAAAACGGAAAACCCTTTCGTCTAGCGGGTTTTCCGTCTTGCGAGGCATTCGTCTTGCGGGGCACCACTGTAACTGGCATTCAGAGTCGACACAAGAGAGGTTTGCAGGGCTGCATTCGATTCCCTCCTGTAATCCCTAGACAATGCTGGAAGGACATAAGGAACTGCATTTTAATAGTTCTTCATGCCCCTGAAACCTGACACAGCATGTTGCAGCAGCTACATCCTAATTGGGGGTTTCCATGCACATCCTCCCAGCTGCAGGACTGGGAGGCCTCTGGGCATCATCAGGAGTGACCATCTGTTATGAAAATAAGTTACCTTTCTCAAATCAAAACAATTTGGCTTGGAGAAGGCATATCCATTTCTGGTTCAATTCACAATTCATTGTTGTTGGGATAAAACAATGTAACGATCTGTTTATCTATCCTAAGGTCTGGGCACAGAATACTTTTAAAAAAAGAATATGAGTATACTAAAAAAAATAAAGGCGAAAGGTCCAGATTTCAAATCAAGGATCAGTTTAAACCTTGAGAAATCACATGCCAATTCCATGGCTCTGTCCAGAAAACACTGCTGAATCAGTGGTCAATGATAACGCATCTCTTCTGGAGCAAACACATCAGACAGGACTCACTATTTAGCATATTATCCAGTTTGCATTGTCATGTCTTCACCATTCAAAATTCAGGAGTACATAAATGAGAGGCCAGGAATCCACATCTGCAGACCCTCCACAAGGGTTACAAAAGATTATGAATGCAAGAGACAGACATATTAAAAAGTGCAGATTATATTCAAACTCATATTGAACCACAATGTTTAATTTATATGCACTGAAGCCAAATGTCTCTTGATGTGCTTGGGTTCCAGAACTACCTACAAGAAATCACCTACAGTAAGGCAAACACATTCTTTTTAAGAGCACATATGGAGTGGGGGAGAATGGTGAAACATTTGGGATTTCTTCTGAGAAATGAAAGCTAGCAGGCAATAAACTCAAACATGCCCCCCATTACTGTATTATAAAGCTGGAATGAAGTGGAAGAGAGACTCAAACATGACAAAAGGATTCCAGGGTTTGTGACAGACTGATGGAAAGAAGGGAGAGGCAGTAGGCTATGGTAACCTTCATCACTGCCATCCACTTCCTTGTACAGGCAAAAATGCTTAGTATTCAGAGATGGTGTCGCGTGATTCTGAGCAGAACCATGCTGCAATCCTCTTTCCAGGAAGAGCAAAAGATGGAAGAACTCCAGTTCCGCAAACTCACCTAGAACAATGCCCCTCACTAAATCCAACAGCACAGACCTCACAGTTCTGCCAATTCCATTCAAGGCCCTGGGACAGAAGGCTCAAGATAGCTTATCAATATTCCCCGCAGCTAATACTCCCCATCCCATGTGCTATCTAATGTCTTTCCTCTACCCCCCCCCCTTTCATTAAATGCACACTTTGAAGCCATTACTGCAGAATGCATGTGGGAGGGGGAGAGAAAGTCGTGGCTTTCCATTTGGGAAATTCTCCACAAACTGAAATCTTGCTGCTTTCCTAAGATGGTTTCTTAAGACTGTGCAATGAGACGCTCCAACAGAAAACCCTATCGCAATTTTAAATTTCCTTTCTAAATTAAACAAAACAAAACAAAACAAAAAAACCACACAGAGAAACCCTGCTAATTGCCATATTGATCAGGAAAGATGGAGATGAAATTACCATCCATCACAGGAGATGGAACGGCGTCCCTTCGTCTCACCAGGGACCCAGCCTGTTCATAGCCATCTCGAGCGTAGATTCTCCGCTCAGAAAACCCCCCCGCCAGGCTCCCACCACCGCCCCGAAAGGGATTCAAAAGCCGCACGAGACAGACGCTCCAATTCGAATGCACACGGGTGCATAAATCCGGATCGATTATTATTATTATTATTATTGGATCCAAGACGACCTGCCTCTTCCTCCTCATCGCCAGCAGCAAGTAACGGAGCCAAGAGGACACGCACTGCGAACGGCGAGAGGGGCGCGGGGGGGGGAGTGTAATCTGAGAGGCATTGCCCGCATTGCATACACCGTCGCTCCCTCTCCCCGCCCCATTAAACCGGGGAGAAAAGGAGGACAGGAGGAAAAGCCCTTTCTGCGCAAAGGGTAGCTGAGAAACGGAGGCTGCTAATAATCTCCCCCCACCCCACCCCGCCCGGGGCCACCCTTCCCAATGCACATGATCTGGGGAGGGGCGTCCTCCTGCCTCGGGAAGGGAGGCCTCCATCCTGCCCGGGCGGCCCTACTAGGAAGCGGGGACGGGGAGAGGCCCTTGCCGGGAGCGCCCCCGCCCTGGCAGGCCCCCTTACCGCGATCACGTTGACGAAGGTGGTCTTGCCCGAGTACTGCAGCCCCACCAAGGTGAGCTCCATCTCCTCCTTCCAGAAGAGCGCCCGGAACCAGTCCAGCAGCTTGGTGAAGAGCGCCAGCATCCTGCTCCTTTCTCTGCTCTCCGACCTCGCAGCAGCGCAGCCAGGCCCGGAGCCTCTTTATTGTCCCCCGGAACGAGCCGGCCTTGCCGCTGCCGCCGCCGCCGCCGCCGCGCTCTGTCTCGGGGCTCCGCTCGGCTCGCAGACCCGCACACGCTCGGCTCCGGCCGCTCAGCTGCTCCTGGGTGGGGTCACGCAGCGACTGAGCCGGGCGGAGAGGCGGCTCTCGACGGCCTCCGCCGCGGGACGCGGCAGCGGCCTCTGCAGGCCGGGAGGACTCGGCGCAGGCGAGGCCTAGCAGGGGACGCTTGAGGCTGCGATCCTATTTACTCCGTTTCCTGCGAGTAAGCCCCACTGAACGCAACGAGGCGGACTTCGTCGTGTTCTCTCCTCCTGAGGCGGGGTTCCCAGGTTTCCATTAAAGCGGGGCTTCCCAGCTGCCGGGGGGGCGGGGGACCCCGAGGCCCCTACCGGATAAAAAGTCAGAAATGCAGAACAGGTTTTCTGAAAGACAAGCTTGCCGCCACCTGCTCAGTCTTCTTTTTGTTCCTGGAAAGATAAGACGCTGTCAAGGCCTGCAGGCCTTCCCTCGTAATGCGCACTCTGGCCTCGCCATCGCTCCGTGTGAGCTTGCTTCAAGGGGCAACAAACACTGCGTCAGAATCTTTCCCAGAATCCTTTCTGATTACTTTGGAGGCAGGGGTGAGGCCAGGATTGGACAGGTGGGATGTAAATGGAGGGGTTTCAGTGGGTTTGCTCCCAAGTGTGACTTAAGTTTGGATCCAATCTATAAGAAGTCTAAAGAGGGATGGCAGCTTTGGCTCCAGTTGTTGTTGTTGTTGTTTTGACATGTGCCTTTGGAAAAAAACTGCATCAGTTGGCATGATCCAGATCTTATACTTGTAGATGGAGCTGGGCTGAGAAGATGTGTGTGGGGAAAGCAGGTCAGGGGAAGGAAGAGTGGACAATAGAAGCAAAGAAATGCCTTCCATCTTACTGAGTACGATTAGGTCAAATTTACGGATCAGTAGCAAACTGGAGGTGGGAATTTCCTGAACTAGAAATCCTTTTTATTTTTATTTTTTTGTATTCCTCTAATAGTTCCTAATTTCCCATCCATTATGCATAGACTCTGTGCCCCGCCTTCCCACTCTTATGTGGGAAGGTGGAAAATGCAGGTGGTGCCTTTCCATTTTTTATATTCACTGGGCCCATCACCTCCTGGCAAAGAGAAGGGGAAGAAATGGAGGCAGTGAGAGATTTTACTTTCTTGGGCTCCATGATCACTGCAGATGGTGACAGCAGCCACGAAATTAAAAGACGCCTGCTCCTTGGGAGAAAAGCAATGACAAACCTAGACAGCATCTTAAAAAGTAGAGACATCACCTTGCCGACAAAGGTCCGTATAGTTAAAGCTATGGTTTTCCTAGTAGTGATGTATGGAAGTGAGAGCTGGACCATAAAGAAGGCTGATCGCCGAAGAATTGATGCTTTTGAATTATGGTGCTGGACTCTCAAGAGTCCCATGGACTGCAAGAAGATCAAACCTATCCATTCTGAAGGAAATCAGCTCTGAGTGCTCACTGGAAGGACAGATCGTGAAGCTGAGGCTCCAATACTTTGGCCACCTCATGAGAAGAGAAAACTCCCTGGAAAAGACCCTGATGCTGGGAAAGATGGAGGGCACAAGGAGAAGGGGACGACAGAGGACGAGATGGTTGGATAGTGTTCTCAAAGCTACCAACATGAGTTTGACCAAACCACAGGAGGCAGTGGAAGACAGGAGTGCCTGGCGTGCTCTGGTCCAGGGGGTCACGAAGAGTCGGATACGACTAAACGACTAAACAACAACACTGTTTATTTTAAATAGAAAATAAACAGATGCCATGTTATAAAGTTTTGTGCAGTGCTTTGTAATATTTTCATTTGAATACATATTTTTGTTCAAATATATGTATTCAAATATATGAATACATATATTTGCTACGAAGCCGCATTGAGTAACTGGTATCTAATGTACCATAGAAGTCATACAGGTTAATTTTTACGTTGCACTGAAGCTCTGTTTTTCCTACAATATAATGAAGACAATTGTCCAGATATGGAGAATACTCAGAACTCTGTATTGCAGTTACTAACCAGCAATGACACACACTTTACAACCCCACAAAGAGTTACTTTGGTAAAGAGTTACTTCCACATTTTTCAAACAGTAGCTTCCTCCTGCTGTTTCCACATGAATTTTCCGTTGTGTGCCTGTCATGCATTTCCCCCCTCTTTCTATTTTTTTCCCAGAAGGCAAAGTCAGAGTACAGCCACTACTACAACCCAATTTTTCCAGTTTCCTCGCCACCAAGAGATGACAAGTACTGTGGGATCAAGGCTTCAGAGTCAAATTCTGAAGTGGAGGCATTCTTAGAGGGCAGATCGCCTTTGGGGAGGAACAATGAAGGCAGGACTGGGAGAGCCTAATTATGGTCTTTTGTCCAGAAAGCCTCTGAAGCTTAGATGGCTTTAAGGGATTTATGCAGGATACATCTGTCAACAGCTATTAGACATTATAGCTAAATGGAACCTCCAAGTTCAGAGGCAGAATATCTGAATATAAAGAGCTGGGGATAGGAGAAGTCAGTTGCCTTCTTGCTCTGCTTTCAAGCTTGGAGAAGCAACTGGCTGGCTACTGTTACTAACATAATGCTTGACTAGATGAACCCTTGGTCTAGTCAAGCAGGGTGTTCTGATGTTCTTAATTAGGAGAAGGGAGTAGATTGGGTGTTTATCTCCTCTCCTCCACCATCCTCTGCTGCCACTTGACTCATTTGGGACTCAAGCTGATATAATTCATCTTCCTTCCTTCCACTGACCACAGATCTACACTTGTAGACAACAGCATGATCATGTTTTGAGTGATGCTGTGCACTGTGAGTCCAAGGAGGCTAGGCAGGGAAGAGAAACCACTATTCTCACTCACTCATGGGTTCAGACAAAACACTAAGCAAAACTTTGACTTAGTTGGTGTCCTGCATTGACTTAAAACCCCCGGCCAAGTTGATGCAGGATGCTCTCTGGGAGCCAGCACATTCATACTGTCATGGTAATCCATACTTTGGCTTACTGTGATATGCAAAGCAAGCTGCTATCTCTCCTGCTCAGAGATATGCACTCCTTTCTTCTCCTCAATAACCCACTCCATCCTCATATCTGCCCACTGGAAACATGCCTAGTCCAGCACCAAATACAAAACCCATTCTGCTACTAATTTATTTTTTAACATCCCAATCTTCCTTTGAAGTTGGCATTGTGAATTTTGTTGGATTTTATTTTGCAAAGCAGTGGAATATTTAGTATTGTAGTCTAAATATTCTCACAATTAGACACATGAGAACTATATCCATTGGGATGTTCTCCTGCACCCATTGAAAAAGAAAGAGGGAGTGGATAGGATTGGTAGCACATAAGATTAGCTTTGCCCCTCCTTTCATTCAGGTTCTACTTTGAGGAACTGAAGAGCTCTTGTCCTGTGACTTAAAGCTTATGGCATGGATAACGGGAGTGGAAGTTGCTGTTGCCAGTGACACCTAATTTAAGTGTTTTTCTGAGAATACAGTGTCTTCCCCATCCCCTTGTTTTTGCCCTTTGTGTGGACTCAGCCCACCAGAACCAAAGAGGAGAGAGGCTGTTGCTGTTGGAGCTGTCTTGGTGGCAGTTTGCTTGTTCAACCACTGCAGCCTGCTAGGAGAGGAAATGGGAAAGAAGGAAGACAGATAGCAGATGCTGCCAAATGAAGTGGAATCAATCAGTTTAAATTATGTGGTTGGTTTGGTATCAGAAAGACTGTGCTTTAATCCTGTTATAACCTCTAGCCCTGAGGTGGAATTGCACCCCTTCCTTACACCACTATATTTTTTTAAAAAACCACACACCATAGCTTTTACTATTGCTCTGATCTAAACAGGGCCAGCCCTACTATGTGGCAGAGTGAGGCAACTGCCTCAGGAGGCTAATTCTGAGGGGAGGACAGTGGCTAGAAAGGTGTGTCATGTGGCTTGCCCTGCAGCCCCTAAGCTATCTTGCTGCCCTAGCATGGCTGGCACACACCAATGAGGTGACCTGCCTCAGGAGGCATGCTTGACGGGGTGGGAGATCCTGATCTGGCCTTGGCAATGGTGGCTTCCGACGCTGCTTCCGACGCAGCCCAAAGCTAAAGCTGAGGAGAGCAGCAGCGCCTCATGGAATACCCTCTTTTCACCAAGAGTCTCAACCACAGAGCAGCTGCACAGGCATAGATCTGTGTGGTAGGTGGGGATGTCAGAGCCACATCTTGCTTCAGGGTATTGAGCCCTGAATATAAAGATTAAAAAAAAAATCCCTTTATTTTCTTCTTCCTATAGAAAGGAGACACTTCAGCTGGATTCCAAAGCATGGAAGAAAGCCTATGCAGTGTAATTTAACTGACCACCTTGGCTATCATCTTGGAAGGTTTCAAGAACACACTAGTCAGGAAATTAAATAACAACCTTAGAACAGCAACAGGAATCTCCTGGTTCCACTCAGATACAACTGAGTTCAGTGCCACCTAGTGATTTAAAATATTTAATGACACTATCCACATAGCCATGAGTGCAAATTCTCCTGAATGCCCTTTCAGATCTATAGCCCATGAAAAGCAATGGCTCATGATGATTACAGTACCTCTGCAAATTTCCCTGCAGCAACAATGCTAGTTATATTTACTGGGACAAAACAACACCATTACCTTCCCTTTTGCTTTTTACGGTAAAACATGCATTTGATGTGAAATATTTTTCTCCTTCCAGCTAGAGACTGTAAGAGGAGGAGGATCCCGTTAACTGTAATGGTGAAATTTATTGATTCGAGCAGGTACTATCTAGTCAATGTGCACATTAGCTGAGAGCCAGATCCCATAACACAATAATTTGCTGCTCATCCATCACATCTTCAGACAAGCACCCAGAATGTTTTAAAGGGTGAACTATGTCTGTAAACCTGCAGTGGACATACACTTGGAAGCTAAATCCCAAAACAGGTGTCTGGCACATGTCCTTGTATATAGAGGTTTCCCCTTAAAGTACTTTTAGTATTTGAAACACACACAGAACAAGCGATAAATTTGTCTTTCACATAAAGTGTGAATCAGATCTTATTACTTTTGCTTTACTGTTTGTTTTTAATTCAGTTTCAAGTTCACAAATAATATGGCTGTGATATTAAATGCATAGTGTGGGAGCTTAATGGTAGAAGGTGGGAATCCCTTCTGGGTACCAGTGGTGTAGGACTGCAGCAGTGAATGTAGATGAACCTAGAGACTTGCTTCACATTGGGTTGTATTCAGCTGAGTCATACTCCGAATGGACCACTGAGCTCTGGCTTCTCAATATAGTGCAAGGAGTTTGGTATGCAAATATTTCACTTTTGTTCCTGGAAAGCCTGTGAAATAAGGCAAAATCATTATGGATGTCAGATACCTCTGGCAGAATGGGATCCTGCAATGAAATGACATCACTGTATGAATTCATGCTAAAAGTCTCTGTAACACTTCATCTCTGGGATGTGGGTGTTTCTCCTGGGTTATCTGCAAAATTCTGTGTGCATACAAGTCCCACCTGCAATATGCAGCTGGTGCTGCTAGCTGGAAGGGAAATATTCCAGCAGTACCTTGTCCCTATGGCACTGTTGTTCCTGGGCAGAGCACCAGAGATTTGAGGTGTACACTTGCATTACAGATTCTCTGTGTAGGTGGTTGCTGCCTCTTCTGGATGATGCTCCTCTTTCAGACTCAAATAGGTGGAAATTATCAACTTTCTTGATTATGTTAGCTCCTGGCAGAAGAAAAAGGAGTGGAAAACTAGAGACAATGTTCTAGTCTCCCTTGCAGCCACTACACCAGCAGAGGCTTTGGCGAACACATTTGAGAACAACTAATACAAAATGACAGGGTTCAGTGATACATAATAATTTCTGTAGTACTGGCTATTTTTACTTCTCCAGTGCTCTGCGAGGTGTCCCTGCAGCTCCACTGACTTTGCTTCATAAAAGTGGTAAAATAAGATTGAAATGAACTGAACCCCAGAAAAAAACTGCAAAGTGATTTTTGAGGGCAGGGGTTCAGAGGAGGGACACAGTTGCCATGATTAAGATTCTAGTGTGTGCCTCCAGACCCTTCTAATAGCTTGAGTGTAAGGCTCAAGGAAGTTTCCGGATTCCATGCAGAGTCACACAGAAGTCTCTGACAGGGTTTCAAGGCCCCTGCCCTTGTTCTTTCAACCTTTTCTTATCTGGAGAGGTTAGGCAGGTTTCATGCTACTGATCCCAATGACCAACCAACTTGCAGGCTCAGGATGAGAACCTCATTTTAAATTGCTAACTCCTGACCTCCCCTTCCTTTTCAGAGCTCTGTGCTCCTCCAGCTAGCCTTGCATTGACTCAGTTCACACATTACACATAGCCAAACCATGGTTTACCACGAACAAGAAAATATATGGTTCCGAATATCATGGCCACAGCACTGCTCCCCATTGTCCTGCTGCTGTGCTCCCTGAAGGTAAGCCATGATTTGTTTCAGTTCAAGCACACATGCTCAGTCTTTGCACATGTGCACATAAATAAACTGAATTAATCACTGTGGCAGGTATTTGTTCTTAAGGAGGAACTTTTGGCCTTTTGTGGATGGACTGTGGGGGCACATTTGACCCCAGTGCTTGTATATTTACCAAATCTACAGAGTGCTTATTTCCATTTAAGTCCTGAACTGCTCATGCAATCCCACTGAGTGATTTAACACAGCATCCATGTGTGCCCATATAAATTTGTGACTCGTATATAGGTAATGGATTTCTCTGACGAGTTTCAGTATTGAAACATTTGCTTCTTATGCATGATCAGCATAATAAAAGCAGTTCAAAGGAAATGATTTCTGGATTCCAAGGAGGAAATAAACATGCTTAAAACCACATGGAGGCTGCAGCTGTTGGCCGGAGAAATACAAATATCAAACTGAGTTTCAAGAGACTGGAGAACATCGGTAGAATGAGTGGGGAGAAAATTATTGTTTCGCAGTTAATGAAGTCCCTCTTCCTGATGACATTTTGGATGCAAGGCCATGGGGTGGGGTGGGAAGGAGAGCATTCTCCAAAGGAGTGTAACAGGAATGAGGAGAAGAAGCTAGATTAGTGACCATATCTGATATCAACAGTCATGTATCCTGAATAGTAAACAATAAACAGAACAAACTATTTTCAAGGAACCTGAAATCTGGTTTAAGTTTGCACACATCATTCAGGGAGTTCAAAACAAGCACAAGAAACACAACATTAAAATTTGAAGTCTGCTTTGTGATAGAAGACATTCCTATGGTATGCGACCGGCGACCAGGTACTTCTTGGGCAGAGATTACACTCCAGGCAGTTGAAACACAATTAGTTTTCTCTATATTGCTACTGATTGGAGAGTCAGAAAAAGGCTCCGTCAAGCCATGTGTCAAGGAGGAGAGGAGCCAATTCCATATGCCAACACAAGAAAATGACACTAGCAGTCTGTGATCTTAGGAAGCTGTGATGCATACATGGCCAGTGTGTGATGGAGGAACTGGTATTGTTCACTGGTTTGTATCATTCCACCCCTGCAATACAAAGAAAAACTATTGAGTTGTGCACTCACTGGGAGCTACAATGATTCAATTCTGTGAAACAGCTAGCATCTTGGGAGAGCCCAACACGGCTTGCAAACAATTCAGGTGAAGCTGCCTATTGTTCAAGAATGTGAAGCAAACCTTCTAGTGCATCTTCTGTATGTACTAAAGATAACAAAAGGAGTGGTGATAAAAACAATGCTCCTAGGGGCCTCACTGCAGGTGTTGTCCGGGGATAGTGGCCCAGGCTAGGGGAAGGGGGAGGGAGGACACAGTGAAGCAAGGAAGCAGCCACAGTGGGACCATGGAGGAATGCTGGGGGGAAACTAAACACTAGCAGCTGCTATTGAAAAATTGTTGAGGGGTGGGTTAAAGAAGGAAACATAGGAAACTGACTCAGACTGGTCCATCTAACTCAGTACTGTATTGCCTACACTCACTGGCAGTAGCCCTCAAGGGTCTTAGATGTGTCTTTTCCAAATGGAGATTCTGGGGATTGAATTTGGGAGCTTCTGCAAGCAAAGCAGATGCTCTTCTTCGTGGTGGAACTGAAAAGTGCTGTTGCAGAGAGAGGGCCCTCTAGATCTTTGTCATTTTTCCTGATAGCACACGTGCTACATTTTGGTCAAATCTGCTACTGTGCAGTCTCCTTATACATACATGGTAAAACATTGAAGAAGTGGGTCCAATGATGTATATTTGACCTAACAGTGTGTCCCAAGCCTACAATGGTTGAAGGCTATTGTACAAGGGCACACTGTTTCCCTGGAGTGCTGGCTGGCCAGGCCAGGTCTACTGGACTCCACACACACATCTCTGCATGGACTGAGATATACACTCTAGAGCACATCAACAATTCCCCGGTGTCAGCATGCTGTGTAGGCCATGGATGGAGGGAACCTGTGATCCTCCAGATGCTGCTGAACTACAACTCTCATCATCCCTGAACAATAGCCATGCTGTCTGGGGCTGTTGAGAACTGGAGTCTAACAACACCTGGAGGACTACATATTCCCCAACCTGTTGTAAAAGAGATCAGTAGCACTGAGCAAGTATTTCAGGGGAAAATTCCCTCCATTACTGGAAGTTGGTGAAGACAATCGTGTTTATAAAGTCGTTTGCTTCACTCGATGACTGCCAACAGTATTTTATTGGTGTGATTTCCTACTGCTTTTGAAAGTTTTTGTTAACGTTTCTATGCTGTTTTAGATCATTATTGTAATTAAATTTTATGATTAACTCTCTTAAGAGTCTGCTGGTTGGGGCAGGATAATATGAAACAAAATATTGATGTTCTCACCAGGCAACTTTTATAAGCTTTCAGGGAACTCCAGAGTTCCCTAAAACAGAGTTTGAAAACCACCCAGCTAATCAAAAGGCAGCTCAACTAAGCAGAGAGAGAGAAAAGTTTCTTTTTATGCTGTATCCCAGAATGCTCAGGAGTAGTGCCTCAGGAGTAGGACTTTGGGGCAAAAGATGAGCAAGAGAGCCCTGCAATGTTTACCACATTTTGAAGCAATGCACATTACCATCTGAAGCGGCCTTCGACCTGGTACCCTCCAGATCCACTGGATTTCCACTCTCACTTTAGATTGAGCCAGTGGGGTGGAAAAAGCACACGTGTGTAATAGGGTCAAACTCCTCAGTCCCAGTTAATAAGCTTGTTCTCAGACCAACGGCAGTTTCCTAACTGCTTTACAGGGCATCAGCACATACAATGCATTGTGCTAGGGTTTTTTTTTCTACCATGTACAGGAATTTTACACATAATGAGAAAGCTCAGAAGATCGTCAGCACACACCTGTCTATGCGCAGCTGGCAGACTATCCCCAAAATATCCACCTCTCCTTTATTCTTCAGTTGCTGGCATCCAATCTGCGTAGCAATAAAACAGCCAGTCCGACCAATTCCTGCACTGAACAAAACACCAAGATAATGTCAGATTGCAGTGGCCCCTGAGGCTTTGAGGGGGATGAGGAAGGTTCTGGATGTCAGGAGAAAGGGGCAGACGCATTCACACACACAAGCAGTGAATGTGAATGTTTTCTGTCTTTCACAATCACAGATCAAGTAGCCTGAGGACCATACATTTTACTTGTTTTACCAGCACCTGCAAATACATGACAGGAGAAAAGTATGGTGTAGTGGTTAGAGCGTTGGACTAGGATTTGGGAGACTAGGAGTCTAGTCCCCAGTCAGCCATGAAGCTCACTGGGTGACCTTGGGCCAGTCACTGTCTCTCAGCCTAACCTACCTCACAGGGTTGTTGAGAGGATAAAATGGGGAGAGGAGGACCAGATACACCACCTTGAGCTCCTTGGAGGGAAAGGTGGTATATAAATGTAAATAAAACAGGAGGTCCATAGGTACTGAGGTTTCAGTCTGGGGAGGTCTTTGTTCAGGCCAAGGCCGCTGAACTCCTTAAACTGCTGCAGGGTTATGAGGAAAGCTTCTCACCTGCAGTGCACAACAACAGGTCCTCTGCTCTCTGTGGCCTGTAGAATTTTCTCCACCTCCAAAACCAAGTGCAAGAAGGTCTTGGCTGATTCTGGGGTCTTCTGGTCTGGCCAGGATGAGAAAACAATATGCTTCACCGTGCGACATTCATCGTTGAGCTGAGAATCATCATGAAACAGAAAGCATATAATTATTCCCTCTATTTCTGATGTTCAGATTGTGAGTGCCATTGCTGCTATTATTATTATTATTTTGATGTCTTAAAAAAAATATTTATGCTTTTATACATTTCACTAATTTTACAATCATTTTAACATTTCAAAACTTGACTCCCTTCCCCCTCTTTCTGTGGTTCCTTGAATTTATTTTTAATGTCTTCTGTATATCCAAATTAACTTAATTTCCTCATTTATTCATCTGCTTTAAATATATACTCTTATGAAACTGCAGGTTATTACAGTAATCCTGCCAATGTTCTTATCTGTTTACAATTTATCGGATAAATTTGATTTTGATTTTTTACCCACTCTTCATACAAGGTCCCAGGGAGAGTTAAAAGCAATCTTAAATGCAATATTAATAACAATTTAAAACAAATATAAGGGTGGGTCCTAATATATGGCTGCATACATACTACACATATAAAGCACACACAGACCTCAAATCCTGGGAAATATAGTTTTCCTGCCATGCAGTTACAATTCCCACCACCCTTAACAAACTGTAGTTTCCTGGATTCTTTTCTGGGTGCATGGGGAAGATGTGCTTCAAATGTATAGCATGTATGTTATGCAGCCCCAAATCTTGGGTGACAAAGGCCAGGGGTCCAAAAGCTCTGTCCTCACACAAGGAGGAGGTATCAGGAGAGCAGAAGTACAGTGGTACCTCGGGTTAAGTACTTAATTCGTTCCGGAGGTCCGTTCTTAACCTGAAACTGTTCTTAACCTGAAGCACCACTTTAGCTAATGGGGCCTCCTGCTGCCGCTGCGCCGCCGGAGCCCAATTTCTGTTCTCATCCTGAAGCAACATTCTTAACCTGAAGCACTATTTCTGGGTTAGCGGAGTCTGTAACCTGAACTGTATGTAACCCGAGGTACCACTGTACGAAAAATATTTTGGGGGGAGGAAGCATAAGGTGGGATGGGACCCAAAAACAGTTCAGTAAGGCCTAGACTTGTTCAGTAGCCACAGACTGCAGACTGACTCGTGGGTTTCTAGAAAAACAGGTGGGAAATGAAACGGAACGGAGTATCATTGAAGGTGGTGTGTGTGCAAAGGGTGCTTCCTCACTGCAGTTTATTATATTATGCTGCTGCTCTCGCTCAGAAGTTTTTCACCCTCAAAATGCCAACCTACACTTTTATTTATTTTTATTTGTAAAATTGCCTGCATACAACTGTGGCAACTGCTGGCGTGTGAGGCCTTTAGCACATTTTTGAGCAGGGGAAAGGCAGTTTGTCACATGTGTGATGGCATTTCCATGAGTGGCCTCTATTGCCACACTCCTACTCCCGCTCGCTTCTCACATGAACAGGTTTGAGCAATAATAAAAATAAATGTTTGAAGCTGCTTAGTGCCCTACATGAGGCTTGGGAGCATGCCTATCTTTCTGTAAATTAAGATAATCCCTCCCTCCTCACTTCGGTCACATTCCCACCATACATTTCAAACACTCTTATGCCACCTTAATTTTCCTCGCTTCCTCTCAAAGAATCCTGGGAGCTGCAGTTTGTTAAGGGTGGTGGGAACTGTATCTTCATGAGAGGAAAACTACAATTCCCAGGATTCTCTAGGGGGAGCCATGACTGTTAAAGCAGTACAGATTTGCTTTCAGATGTGTTGGGGGGTGGTGGACCAGGGACTCAACTACATTAGTAAAGAAACAATTTGAATGTGCTATAAACATGCAACCAGAGATGGTGCCAGAGAGCAGGAAATTTTTATACATGTTTTTCCATAGGGTTTTTTTCTGTTACAATGATGTAATTTCTGACTTGTTTATAGCATTTTTTCCTGTGTGTAGATCCACTCCAGCTTAAAGTACCCATTTCATCATGTTGTTGTGACAACAGAGGGAAATCAAATCAATCTGTTGTTTCTTCTATGCTGTTTCCTATAGCAGAAGGAAGCCCCGCTGCGTATGGGTGGGTGGATGGAACACACGAGGAAGAGGGAAATGTATCTGTGCAGCAGGAAAAACCCCTTGGCACCTCTTGTTGCTTTTTCCAAACCTCTCCAATAAAGCAAATAAGCTTTCTTCTGCTTGGAGAAGTTTGCATAAAGAAAAAACAGTGAGAAAAGCTACAGGAGACTGGTTTGATTCCCTTTTCCTCTGCCAGCAACACTCTTGAATCTCAGGGTGGATATGAAGTTTCGCTATCAGTTGGAGAAGGCTAAGAGAGAGGAATCATATTAACTTGCCGAAACACTGGCACATGCACACACCCACTCAGAGCACTAAATATGTTTTCAGTATCATGGATGTTACGCAATTCTGTTCTGTCAAAAAATTTGGGGAAAACCTTTTTTTAAGGACAAGGAAACTGCAGTTTAATTGTAAACTAATTAGAGACGGAGGGAGGAGTGACTGAGGGTGGGGCAAAAAAAACCCCACCCCCCCATACCCAGGCTAAAAGGTAAAGGTAAAGGGACCCCTGACCATTAGGTCCAGTCGTGGCCGACTCTGGGGTTGCAACGCTCATCTCACTTTATTGGCTGAGGGAGCCGGCGTACAGCTTCCGGGTCATGTGGCCAGCATGACTAAGCCACTTCTGGCGAACCAGAGCAGCGCACGGAAATGCCATTTACCTTCCTGCCAGAGCGGTACCTATTTATCTACTTGCACTTTGATGTGCTTTCGAACAGCTAGGTTGGCAGGAGCAGGGACCGAGCAATGGGAGCTCACCCCGTAGCGGGGATTCGAACCGCCGACCTTCTGATCGGCAAGTCCTAGGCTCTGTGGTTTAACCCACAGCGCCACCCGCGTCCCAAACTCCACCTGCTGGTGTGGTTGGTGAATAGAAGAACAGGAGTGTGTTCATGAGCTACTTGGGTGCACACAAACATCAGTTCTGAATGACCTGTTTGCAAACTAACATTCCCTTCTGGACCTTAACTCAGGTGGGAAAGCGCCCACTTGCAAGCAAACTCTTGGATTGCCGGACGGTCCACTTTGGCCTGTGAGGCTATTCCCCCCCTCAAACCATGCCTATTTGTCAATCAGCTGGTGTCATGGGCTGACATCAGCTGATGAGCGTGGGCAGGGTTCAATCCTTCTGGGTGCATTCCTTGCAAGATGTCAAAGGTCAGGGGAAAGAGGTGTATCTTCAGCATGCAACAGACACTACGTAATGAAGGTGCCAGATCCACCTCAGTGGGGAGCTACCATATTTTTCCATGTATAACATGCCCCCGTGTATAAGACGCCCCCTATTTTGGGGGACTCCAAATTAAGAAAATGGGGGGAGATTGCCCAGAGTTGCTGAGCTTTTTGGGGGGAGGATTGCCCACAGTTGTTGAGCTTTTTCTAGGGGGGATTGCCAAAAATCGTTCACCTGCCTGACCTACGCTGCCAGTTGCACACATAATTGCCACAAATAACACGTCCAATAGGGACACGGGTGGCGCTGTGGTCTAAACCACAGAGCCTAGGGCTTGCCGATCGGAAGGTTGGCAGTTCGAATTCCCATGACGGGGTGAGCTCCCGTTGCTCGGTCCCTGCTCCTGCCAACCTAGCAGTTCGAAAGCACATCAAAGTGCAAGTAGATAAATAAGTACTGCTCCGGCAATAAGGTAAACGGTGTTCCTGTGCGCTGCTCTGGTTCACCAGAAGTGGCTTAGTCATGCTGGCCACATGACCCGGAAGCTGTCTGCGGACAAATGCCAACTCCCTCGGCCAGTAAAGCGAGATGAGCGCCGCAACCCCAGAGTCGGCCTCGACTGGACCTAACGGTCAGGGGTAAAAGGTAAAGGTAAAGGTACCCCTGCCCATATGGGCCAGTCGTGACCGACTCTGGGGTTGCGTGCTCATCTCGCTTAAGAGGCCGGGAGTCACATGGCCAGCGTGACGAAGCTGCTCTGGCGAGCCAGCACCAGCGCAGTGCACGGAAACACCGTTTACCTTCCCGCTAAAAAGCGGTACCTATTTATCTACTTGCACTTAGGGGTGCTTTCGAACTGCTAGGTGAGCAGGAGCTGGGACCGAAAGACGGGAGCTCACCCCGCCGTGGGGATTCGAACCGCCGACGATACGATCGGCAAGTACTAGGCACTGAGGTTTTACCCACAGCGCCACCCACGTCCCTTTAACGGTCAGGGGTACCTTTACCTTTACCTTAACATGCCCAATAGCTGCTGACCATCTCCAGCTCATGGCAGAAACCAATCCCACGTCCCCCCCCATGCACTATCCATGTATAAGACAACCCCCAATTTTTAACATAATTTTTAAATAAAAACACTTCATCTTTTACACGGAAAAGTATGATAATTCCACAACTGAAGGGCTGCCACAGAGAAGGCCCTCTCCCAGGCCACCCCTCCAAACTTCTCACTTCACATGAGCAGCAATGACTGCACAGTAAACCTTTGGCAGGAAGCACCACTGTCCCTGCTTGTGTCCCAAGCCCTCCTGGCCTACCTGTAGGCCAAAGTCGCGGATGGTGTATTCTTCACACTCACAAATGCCTTGCATGCGAATGATGAAGGGCCCATAGGTTGCCTCCGTTTCAGGCCAGTAACAGACACATTTCTGAAACCAGAAGGACGAGGATCCCCATGAGGAGAAGTGGCAGCGTAAGTCAACGTAAGCGAGTGACTCAGAATAGAAGCACAATATAAAAAAGCAAAACCATTCAACCACCAGCTCCAGTCACACCAGATCCACCTACGCAATCCAGACCACAGTACACCAGGATCAAAGAGTTGTGTACAGCGGCAAGGGGCCTACAGACCAAACAGGTACTCAGAAAGCCCTGACATTCTTTATAGGCTGCTCCAGAAGCTACCTTATGGGAGAAAATGAACTGAGAGGGAGATCAGAGTTTAGATGAGGTATCTTAGCCATTTACACTGTCTCCCCACTGTACGGAAGGTATTTGTGCCAGCCAACGGAGCCTCCAGATATAATAATGCTGCAAACCTGACCCGATTTTTTAGCCGGAACTCGCTGGAACTCAGTTCTGGGACCGCTCAGGTGGGGGCCATAGCCGTTATAAGAGAACAAGTGAGTTCCGGCACCTCTTTCCCTAGAAAAATAGCACTGCTGCAATCCTATACACACTTACAGGGAAGCAAAAGACCCACTGAATACAGTACTGTGGTTCTTACTTCTGAGTAAACACTTCCCCCCTCTTTGAATGAGCATGCATAACATTGCACAGCTGAGATCTTTTAAGGAATGGGGTGTAAACAACTCATCAGCACAGTCCTGCTATGATGCACTGAAGTCTTGGGATGCATTTTAGAAGAGTGAGTGTCACTGGGGGCCAAATTAATCCCCTTCCCCCTGAAGCAGAGAGCTGGCCCATGGTTGGAAATGTCAGCATTCTGGTTGCCCAATTTCCCCCTACATTTATGACCCAAAATACACAGTTATAGAAGCTTGGGTGAGCATTCTTTGTTAAACTGATGGTTTGCTAATCGTCTCTAGGAGGTTCTGTTGTTCTTTCCTCAGTGAAAACCAAATTCTGCTCCTGAAAGCGGGAAGCACGTACCAATGCTGTGGGTTTTTTTACCACTAATGCTAAAGGATGCGCTCTCAGCAGGAATAAAAGTATCAGTTGTCCATCCCTGTTTGATGAAATGTTTACAAATTTAAGCTTGCTCACTGTTCTTCTGTTAGTATCTGGAAAGTCCCCTCACCTCCAGGGAATTTGTTTATGCTCACTCAGAGCAGTCTACAGGCCCAATACAGTTTGCTGCCTGAGGTAAAGACAGTGCTTTAAAAAAGAAAAGAAATAAAAACTGCCGGTACTCACCATGAAGTTGTTACAGTAAGTGCCACACTTTTAACTTATTTTATTTTATTTTAAGTTGCTGGTACTGGGTACCCTGGGGAAAAAAGCACTGGGTAAAGGACGCAATGGTGTTCTCTCCATTACATACAGTGGTGCCCCGCAAGACGAATGCCTCGCAATACAGAAAACTCGCTAGATGAAAGGGTTTTCCGTTTTTTGAGCTGCTTCGCAAGACGAATTTCCCTATGGGCTTGCTTCGCAAGACGAAAACGTCTTGCAAGTTTGTTTCCTTTTTCGTAAAACCGTTAATACCCAGGGTGCATTGCTTGAAGAGGTGCAGTTGCGACTTGACTTTGAGGAGCAACACATTGCACGCGGTGTGGTAGCCTTTTTTGAGGTTTTTGAGGAGTTTGCCGATTTTTGAAGCTTTTCCAAAACTTCTTTTGCAGCCGTTTGGTAAGTCAAACTTTTAAAACTTTTTTTGGGTTTTTTGGATTTTGGGTTGGGGTGTTTGGAATTCAAAACTTGGTGTTGGGGAGAGGTTTGCAAGAATCTGGGAGCTTGTGTGGGTTTTTCTTGCATTTTTATGATCTTTTGTGACCATTGGGCCACTCTGCTTTTTTTAAAAAAAAAATTCTGGGTTTGAATTTCTGTGTGGTGGGTGGCTGGGGGAACAGTTGAGGAGGGGTTTGCAAGAATCTGGGAGCTTGTGTGGGTTTTTTTGAATTTTTATGATTTTCTGTGACCATTGGGCCACTCTGCTGTTTTTTAAAAAAAATCTGGGTGTGAATTTCTGTGTGGTGGGGGGCTGGGGGAACAGTTGAGGAGGGGTTTGCAAGAATCTGGGAGCTTGTGTGGGTTTTTTTGAATTTTTATGATTTTCTGTGACCATTGGGCCACTCTGCTGTTTTTTTAAAAAAAATTCTGGGTTTGAATTTCTGTGTGGTGGGTGGCTGTAGGGAACAGTTGAGGACGGGTTTGCAAGAATCTGGGAGCTTGTGTGGGGTTTTTTTTTGAATTTTTTTGATTTTCTGTGACCATTGGGCCATGTTGTTTTTTTAAAAAAAAAAAATCTGAGTTTGAATTTCTGTTTGGTGGGTGGCTGGGGGAGCAGTTGGGGAGGGGTTTGCAACAGTTGGGGAGGAGTTTGCAATTTCTGTGTGGTGGGTGGGTGGCTGGGGGAACAGTTGCGGTTTTTGAAGACTTTGGTGATTTTTAAAGCTTTTCCAAAACTTCTTTTGCAGCCATTTGAGGATTTTGAAGACTTTGGTGATTTGCAGCCATTTCGTAAGTTAAACTTTTAAAACTTTTTGGGGGGGTTTTGGATTTTGGGTTGGGTGTTTGGAATTCAAGGACTTGGTTCTGGGTTTGAATTCCTGTGTGGTGGGTGGCTGGGTGCTTTTGAATTTTTTGGGTGTGAAGCACTGATTATTTTTTTTTTCTGAGTTTACGAAGCTAGGAGCTGTGCTGCCATGGGACCCAAGAAGACTGCTGCTGCAGAGGCCGGCGAGAGGAAGAAGGAGAAGGTGACGCTGGAAATGAAGAAGGAGATCATCCGGAAGCACGACGGTGGAATGCGTGTGACAGACCTCGCCAGGGAGTACGGCAGGAACCCATCGACCATCGGCACCATCCTGAAGATGAGGGAGAAGATCCTTGCGACTGATGCAGCCAAGGGAGTCACCAGGATCGTGAAGAACCGCCCAGCTGTTCTGGAGGAGGTCGAGAAGTTGCTGCTCATCTGGTTAGAAGAGAAGCAGCGTGCAGGGGACACAGTGACTGAGGCCGTGATTTGTGAGAAGGCCAAGGCCTTGCACGCAGACCTCGTCCGGGAACAGCCAGGAACCTCAGGCGAGCCAGAAGTCTTCAAGGCAAGCAGAGGCTGGTTTGACCAGTTCAAGACGAGATCTGGAATCCACAGCGTGGTCAGGCATGGAGAGGCTGCCAGTTCTGATGTTCCTGCGGCTGAAGACTTTGCCTTGGAGTTCCTGGAGGCTGTGAAGACGGAGGGCTACGTTCCACAGCAGGTCTTCAACTGCGACGAGACCGGGCTGTTTTGGAAGAGGATGCCCAAAAGGACTTTCATCACTCAGGAGGAGGCCAAGTTGCCTGGCCACAAGCCCATGAAGGACCGTCTGACCCTGCTCTTCTGTGCCAACGCAAGCGGCGACCTGAAGATCAAGCCCCTGCTGGTGTACCACTCGGAGAACCCACGGGCCTTCAAGAAACACAAGGTCGACAAGGAGCAGCTGAGTGTCATGTGGCGATCCAACAGTAAGGCTTGGGTCACATGTGTGCTGTTTGTGGACTGGGTCAATCTTGCTTTTGGCCCTGCTGTCAAACAGTACCTGCTGGACAACGACCTGCCGCTGAAGGCTTTGCTTCTGATGGACAATGCTCCTGCTCATCCTAAAGGCCTTGAGCAGGACTTGTTGGAGGAGTTCAGCTTCATCAACATCATGTTCCTGCCGCCTAACACCACGCCACTGCTCCAGCCGATGGATCAGCAGGTCATCGCCAATTTCAAAAAACTCTACACCAAGGAGCTTTTCAGGCGATGCTTCAAGGTGACTGATTGCACCACCATCACCCTGCGGGAATTCTGGAAGGACCACTTCGACATCGTCACCTGCTTGAAGATGATCACCACGGCCTGGAAAGGGATCAGCCAGAGAAATTTGAATTGCGCTTGGCGCAGCCTGTGGCCGGACTGTGTGGCACCAAGTGACTCTGATGCACCAGAGTCAACAGTGGTGCAGGACATTGTTGCCTTGGGGAGGACCATGGGCCTGGAGGTCACAGAGGAGGACGTCTGCGAGCTGGTGGAGGAGCACGACCACGAGCTGACCACCCAGGAGCTGGTCGAACTGCAGGCAGAGGCTGCGCAGGAGCAGGCCTCGCTGGAAGAGGAGGAAGCAACTGAGGAACGGCTGTCCTCCAAAGAACTGAGGGACATTTGCATGAAGTGGAAGGATGTGCAGGCTTTTGCAGAGCGGAACCACCCTAACAAGCACGTGGCACATGACCTTGTGAACACTTTTGATACGACGGTCATGTCGCCTTTCAGGGAGGTGCTGAAAAGGCGGATGAAGCAGCAGACCATGGACAGGTTCTTCAGCAAGAAGCAAAGAGTGGAAGAGGAACCTTCTTCGAGTGGTCCCCAGAGTCTTAGAAAATGTAATGTACACTTTGTTGATTTTTAAATGTTTTTCCTGTCATGTTTAGAAACTTAATTTATTGTTCCTTCAATTTTTGAAATGCTCTTTACAGTATGTGTGACTTTAAAGAGCACTTAATAAACTCTTGTTGTACCAAATTTGGCTTTGTTTGGACTTTTTTGACCATAGGAACGCATTAATTGGATTTCAATGCATTCCTATGGGATTTCGTGCTTCGCAAGACGAAAAATTCGCTAGATGAAAAAACTTGCGGAACGAATTAATTTCGTCTTGCGAGGCACCACTGTATATAAAAGCCAGCTAGACTGGCACTTGAATCACCAATGCATTCACCAATGAATCGTACTTCGGTATTGGCAATGGAGTAGCATTCTCCACTACACTTGAGGGCAGCAGACTAGCTTAGTGGTTTCAGGACACACTCTATCTGCTCCTCACACAAACACACACCCAGCATCTGTCACGTGAGGCAGCCATCTCACTCTGCCTAATGGTAGGGCCGGCGCTGCTCAAGGCCCACACCAATCATACCTCTTTCGCTTCCTTGAGTTTGGTGAGCATAACGATGAGAGGAGCTCCTTCCTGCCACACCATTGTCCAGAAGTCATTGACTGTATTAAGCATGGGCCCCTGGGTGGCAATATAGGCCTTCTCCTGCCCAGCATAACCCTAGAAGGTGAGACAGAAATATCAACAAGTAAGACATATCCCAACAGTCATCTTCAGATTTCTCACACCTCAATGACCCTCTGGCTCACCCGGATGTAGTTTGCATTAATGTAGCTCTCATCTTCTTGGCTCAGCGCTCTCTTGAGGCACACACGACTCTGGGGATCTAAAGGGACAGTTTGGTTACTGTGGACATGATGCCTGAACACAAAGACCATGCACAAAGCATCATCTAATTATAATATCCTAACCCATGGGTGGAAAACCTGTTGGCCTCCAAATGTTGTTGGATTTCAACTCCCATCAGCCCCAGTCTGCACAGCCAACAGTCAGGGATGATGGGAGCCATAGTCCAAGAGGAGGAGGAGTTTGGATTTGATATCCCGCCTTTCACTCCCCTTCAGGAGTCTCAAAGCGGCTAACATTCTCCTTTCCCTTCCTCCCCCACAACAAACACTCTGTGAGGTGAGTGAGGCTGAGAGACTTCACTGAAGTGTGATTAGCCCAAGGTCACCCAGTAGCTGCATGTGGAGGAGCGGGGATGCGAACCCAGTTCACCAGATTACGAGTCCACCACTCTTAATCACTACACCATACTGGCTCTCGAGCTTATGGATTCCCCACCCTTGTCACAAGAAGTCAGAAAGCTGGCCAAATCCTCCTTCAAAGAGATGCTCCCCCCACCTTCCAGCACATTTGACTCAGTCGTTGCTACCTCATCGTTCTTCTGTCCTTGCTCAGACTCATTATTTACAATGAATTTGCCTTTTCAACAGTCATGTCAGAAGTGATGTATGTCACTACAGCAGCTGGAACACAGAGCAGTCATTTTATTTCTGCTCACACAGGTGGAGTTTTCATCCCACCACAATGGCAAGTCTATCTGGGATATAAAATGGCCTTGAGTTGTTTTCCACTCAAACACCCGTCACCATCTTACGCAAACAAGGTGGCATCTACAAGAGGTTCCCCTATGTCTCTGGCCTTTAGAAACTTTTCCACTCCAACTCATCACAACTTCTAAAGCCACAAGGTATTGTTATGATTATGTAAGGCATCCTGCACATCTCAGCAGGGATTGAAATTATGTCTGCTAAAGCCAAAGGGTGGAACTTGTACAGAAGAGGCAGGGAAGCTTTTCATTTCTTTTCTGTTGAGGACTGCATTCCCACGTGGTAGTGGAGAGCTACCTTCCCAACACAAGTATCCCCACAGCTTATCTGGGCAGGGCTGGGGTGGTGCACCAAGCAAGGACATAGGACACGCCATGTGGCACACAGCTCCATCATCCAGCAAAGAGGAATGAACAGAGCTCTCTGGAGGAACAGCCAGGAGTGCTGCAGCTGTGACTGAGCTGTTATTTTCAGCTAAGGAGCCTGATCATGAAAAACAAAATCCAACCATTTGCTCTGTAGGTGCACAACAGAGTTATGTGTGCCTCTTTTATACTCACTGATACAGTCACAACTGACCTAGAGTCATGCCACCTCTCAGTGTGTGTGTAAGAGGGGAGAGCGACACATAGGCCTCAAGGGCCGGTGGCGGGGACACACAATGCGCTTTAAATGTGCTTTAGCTATAGGGTGCGAATGTGACCTGACACTGGCCAAAGAATACAAATAAGAATAGATGGGTCCATTGGTCTGCCTTCCTTTGCCAACTTTCCATTTTCCTTGTTCACAAGAGGCAAACATACTTGGTAGGATGGATTTATATCTGTCTTTTGCTGCTCGTCTGGGGATGTCCAGCTCTTCTGCGCTGGCAAAGTTGGAGGGGATTTTCTGTAAAGGAGGAAAGAAGGAATTGCTGAAATATTCCCCTCTCTGAAACATAAAGCACCCAAAGTGTTGGGAAGAGAGAGTATAAATACAGATATGTTTTTGCTTCCCAACACATACTCTGAATTGTTCCCCTTTTAACCTGCTATCAGCCCAAAGGGACTGTTATGGAGATCTCTCACCTGCCTAAAGAAGCCCAGCTCTTTATAAAGGGTAGTGGTGTTATTATTCATCTTATAAAACCCAGGAAAAAAGGGAGGAACTTCCTGCTCTGTTAAGATGCTAGGCACAAAATGTTCATTTCCAATGCATGAAAATGGTTCTTGGAGATGTTCTTGGACTACAACTCCCATCATCCATCACCATTGGCCATACTGGGTGGGGGACATGGGAGTTGGGAGTCTACCAGCATCTGCAGAAAAACAGGTTCCCCTTTCTTGCAGTAGGACAGTTTTCTAATGGGAACACATAAGAAGAAGGAGCTGGATCAGACCAGTGACCCATCTTGTCCAGCATCCTGTTCCCACCACCTAGGAGAAGCCCAACATCAGGACCTGAGCACTCTCCCCAGCACTCTCAACAGGCATTCAGAGGCATGCTGCCTCCCACATTGGGTAGAACATAGGAATCATGGCTAGTTGCCATTGAGAGCCTTATTCATCATGAATTTGTTTAATCTTTTAAAGCCATCAAAGTTGGTGGTCACCATTGCCTCCTGTGGGAGCTAACTCTATAGTGCTGTGTGAAGAAGTACTTTATTTTGTCTGTCTTGAATCTTACAACATTCAGCTTCATTAGATGCCCATGAGATCTAGTGTTACGAGAGTGAGATCCTCATGATCTAATACTATAACTAAGAGAGGGAGAGAGGGAGAGAGGAAGAAAAAAAATACTTTATCAACTTTCACCAAACCATGCATAATTTTATGCAATTTTATCATGTTGCCTCTCACACCTTTCCTCTAAACTAAAAAAAACAACCCCAATTCTGGAACCTTCCCTTGAGCATTCTGGCTGCTCTCCTCTGAATCTCTCCCAATTCTACAATATGCAGTACTCTAGATTGCAGGATGGTGTGCAATTGGAGGAGCTTAGCTTGGAATGAAATCAGGACGAGGCAGTTCTGAGTGTCTCACCGCAAACTCCTCTTGAAGCTCCTCTAGGCTCCAGTTCTGCTGCTGGAGCATCCTCTGAGTAAGAACATGGCTGGTGGTGTTCAGGAGCTTCACTGTGACATCCCTTGGGGTGGAGACGGATGAAATGGGTTCTGTGTTGCTCAGGGAACTCATGTCCAGCACCAGCGACACGTTGGAGCCCCTTCTGAAAGGGAGAGAAACCCAAATGTGCAAATTATAAGCCTAGAGAAAGCCATCTATAGAATAGGGTGGAAGGGTTGTGTGAAAGGGGTAAAATGTGCTAGTGAAAAACTAGTGAAAAGATGCACAATAGTAACTGGGATCAAAGGCAATTTTAACCCTGCATAAATCTTATAAAACAATGCAAGTAAATTGCCAAGTGTATATTGACAATGCTTCCCTCTCCATCTTCTGATTATAAATTGTTTTAAATTCTAATATTATATTTTTACATTTTTGTAACCTACCCAAGGACCTTATGCCCAAGGGAGGACAACAAATCTACATAATAAATAAATACCCTAGACTCTAGCTGCAGCATCACACAGCCACTCCAGACTGAGAGAAACTAGAAGGGAAGCCTGAGATTGAGGATTTAACTATACACTGAATATGAAGCATACAGTACCAAAGCAATATTGTCACTACACAATTATTGGGACCCCAGCTCATGAGTGTCACACATTAATGAGCCAGAGAGTTCCTATGTTGGCCCAGTTTCAGGCTGATATTGCAATCATATATTTAAAAAAATCCTCAAATTGGTTCTAATGATTATGGGAGTCCATTCCTTCTTCCAGAACAGAAATGTTCCAGACTAAGCACAAACAGGGCAAGAGGAATTCTGCAAATGTTTGTGTGAAAGGAATTCTAAAACAGCCACACCGATGTTATGCCCTTCTCTGTGTGTCCCCTCTAAGGGAGGTCTGGCAGGACAAAAAAAGGCCTTTTCTGTGGTGGCTCCCTGCTTATAAAATGCTCTCCTAAAGGAAACACACCTAACGTGATCATTCTGTATTTAGGCATCAGGCAAAAACATTTTTATTTACCCAGGCCTTCAGCCCTTAATTTGATGGAAATCATGTATGTTTGTGGCCTCTTTTGGTGTTCAATGAGGTGGGTTAGAATTGCTTTCTTTACTATATAATAAAAATGTAAGAATGTCATCATCCTGCAGTTCACTTGTCCACAGACAGGTGGTGCTGTGAAATACAGTGTAATGAGAAGCAATGAATGGGTGGTGTAGGCAAGCTGCAAAGGGTCAGCTGGAACAAGCTTTAGCAGCCCCCCAGCAGCTCCACTGGCTCCTCCGCCTACCTGCCCTGGGACCTCTGCTCCTGGATCTAAACCCCCAGACTGACTGGTGCCACTAATGGCCACCTTGGGGATCTGCTGCTTTTGTGCCGCTGCCAATTAGGGTGCAAAAATAGCCCAATGCAAGAAGAAGGAAGGTGGTCAGAAGCCAGGGTCTGCCAGGCTGGTAATCTGCTTCTGCCAATGCCACCATTTATGATAAAGGGCCAGCCTGACTAGGAGGGGCAGTGGCAGATCCCCAGACCAGCCACCACTTCTGGCCTCTTTCCTGTAGTGCTCATCTGGCCGAGCCATCTCTTCATCCAACCTGGCTGCAGCAGCAACACGAGGTAGAAAGCGAAAGGTCCAGGGGGCGGGATGCAGTGTCACGTGAGGGGTCGGGAGGCGTGTGCGTTTGTCAAAGGGTGGGTTAGTGGGAAGAGTGGTAGGTTGACATGTTGCTGAGTAAAATGAGTAGAGGTGCAGCCGCTAATTTAGGGTGTTTGTTTCAAGTCACAGGTCCGAGAGATGTCCCTTCACCCCACCCGTCCTTCCGCTTCCCCCCAGGAAAACCCACTGGAACAAAATTGGAACAAACACCAATCAGGTTTTTGTGCGGATTGACCTTTGTTCTGATTCAGTAGTAAACAGCAGGTTTTCCTAGGGGGGTTGGGGGGAAAGCTACCCTCTGAGACTCAAGACTTGAAATCACAGGACAAATGGATAGGCCCTTATATATATTTATGGATGAGCCTTTTGGGGTTTTCCTTGCAGTCTTATAATAGGCTTTAATATGTCTTGGTAGTCCTGTTCTTCCATTGCAAGTCACTTTGAGACACCTTCTTGTAAAAAGTGGCAAATAACTATAATAAACAATAATTATAATACTAAGCATAGTCAGAGTCTTATTTCTAAAAGTTCCAGGCTGGAAGCAGCCTGGTTCATATAAAGCTGTCCATGGAAGTATCTTGCTCCTCACTAGGATGCTGTGAGTCCCCTTTTCTCCCAAAGCACCCCTTTTCATCTGTTAAGTAGCTTTCTAGAACAGGGGTCACCAAACCTTTTCAGCAGGGGGCCAGTCCACTGTCCCTCAGACCTTGTGGGGAGCCGGACTATATTTCGGGGGGGAAATATGAACAAATTCCTATGTCCCACAAATAACCCAGAGATGCATTTTAAATAAAAGGACACATTCTACTCATGTAAAAACACGCCGATTCCCGGACCGTCCACGGGCCAAATTTAGAAGGCGATTGGGCCGGATCCAGCCCCCAGGCCTTAGTTTGCCTACCCATGTTCTAGAACAACGACTTGTACATAAACTCTCAGCCCCTGGTATCTGCACATTGAGCCAAAACGCAGAGCACTCTCAACTCACCTATCCTGCAGACGCACATGTTTCTTGACTTCCTGACACTTCTCCATTCCTGCCCTCTTTCGCTCACGTAGCAGGCTGAAACTATCGACTTTAGGGCATGCTGAACAGGAGAGGACCATGCTGTGCCAGCAAAGGATTCTCTGGACTGAGGTATGAGAGGCCAGCCACCCGAGGAACCCTGAGAGCAGGTGCCATGCGGGTCAGCCAGCCCATTGGGCTGGAGGAACACCTAGAAACCACAAAAAGCAAGCGGTTCATTGAAGAGAGCTCCGTCAACTTCCTGTATGTCACTCATGCCCCTGTTAGGAAGGAAGAGGCTGCAACGAAAAGCCCCATGTACACCTAACAGAGCCTCACTCAAAGAATGTCTAGACCAGGGTTTCCCAAACTTGGGTCTTCGGCTATTTTTGGACTACAACTCCCATCATCCTTAGCTAGTAGGACCAGTGGTCAGAAATGATGGGAACTGTAGTCCGAAAAATAGCCGGAGACCCGAGTTTGGGAAACCCTCATGTAGAACATGGCTGTCTTTGGAACATGCCACTTCCTGCAGATGGGGGTACAAAATCCCAGTCTAGAAGGAATCTCTGTCTGTAAGGTCTGGAACAGGACTGGAACAAGGTCTGGAACAAGACTAAAATTTATTATTATTATTCCTCACAGAACTTCTAGCCCAAATGGTTGCCATTAATTTGATTGGAATTAATTTTATAATGAAATGATTTTAGAATGTTTTACCCTTTTACTGTTGTTAACCGCTCTGAGCCCGGCTTCGGCTGGGGAGGGCGGGATATACCGTAAATAAAATTTATTATTATTATTATTTATTATTACCGCTTACATCAACACACATGCACATTCACCAAATTAGAACCTGTGGACAGTGAACCCATTCCTGCAGAGCCAGAGGAGGGGCATGTTTTTCCTACGGTAGTCCAGCTTAGGCAAGAGAAAGGCACAAACAGCAGAGCTATGGGCAACCAAGTTCACATAAACCAATTGGGAAGTCACAGGCCCCTTAAATCAAACGGGCATTCTTGAGCATGGCACTCCTGTTCAGCCCCAGCATCTGGGCTTTATTTCCTCTCCCTTCAGTCACCACAACACACACTTAGCAGACACAGAGGTTTTCTCCCATGCCCACCCTGTTCCGACACTCCCGGTTGGATAGTCACTCACCCACTGCTGTCGGCAAACCCATCTCTCCTGCTGTTTATAACCAGCCACCCGGTGAAATAAATAAATAAAAAGCGAGCGCAGGAAATTCCTTATCACTATGCTGGTGGTTGCTCTGGCACTTCCCCCTCTTGCTCCACCCTTGCAGCCACCCACACACATGTGCCGGCCACAAACCTCACAGCTCCATCCGCTGCACAACGCCCCCAGGGAGCTCTCACAAGGCAGTGCAGAGGCTCAGATCCTTTCTGAGCATTCTGCCCCAAGGATTACTATATTTTAGCTACCCAAGAGAAAACAGCAGATCTCTGGTTGCAGATAACACAGATGCAGAATGTCTCCTTGAATCAAGGGTGGGAATTTGGCCCTCAGATGGGGCAATCTTCTGAAGGCCACAGTCCAGTGATAGGCAAAAGCTAGCAAAGCAACAGTTCCACCGATTGCGCCACACTGATGGCAAATCTAGATTTTAGCAATCCATTTCAGAGGAGCAATTTGTAAAGGGCTTGCCCACATTTGAGCATTATTTAGGTGTTCATCCACTCCACCACCACCCCATTCAAATTAGACAAGAGTAATCCATACCCAGACATATTTCAATATGTATAGGAGAAGCAACTTTGGCCTTTCCTGTGCATCCCAGTAGGCATGGCCTTTGTCTTCTAATTGGTCAATTCAGCTATGCCAGTTAGGTACTGACAGGGCATGTGTGCAGGTAGCTGTGCACACACCTCAGATTGTTTGTTTGTTTAATGTCCCTACCCAAGAAGTGTTCAAATGCACACAGTCAAGCAATTGTAAATTACTGCTACTAATTTACAATTAGTAGAAATGTTAAAAAGAATTATGTAAGAATATGTAATGGTTAAGAGAATTTGGTATAAATAAGATTTATGTTTTAAGTTTTAGGGTTTTTTATGGTAAGATAAGGTTAAAATAGATTAAGGTATTTAATGACAGAATATTGTGAAAAATGGAAGGGATTTGCTGAGATAATTAATAACTAGAATACAAAAAAGGGAGGTGTGAGGAGGTCGATGAAATAAGGTAATGACAGTTAAGGATCTGGGAATATTGGATTTGTTTTTAAATTTTTTGTTTATTTTTGCTTTTTGATTTTGATGTACTGTGTGTTTTCTTTTTTTCTTTTTGACTTTGGTTTTTACTGATTTGTATTGTTTAATTGTTACTTTTATCTACTTTTTTCTTTCTTTTTCTCTTTCTCTTGTTTTTTCCTTCTTATTTCTTTGTAACCTTAAAGTTCTCAATAAATATCATTTTTTTTAAAAAAAGCAATTGTAAATTAGCTCGTGCAATTTTTGATTTTGTGGAAATCTGAGGGATCAAAAGCAATGTTAGACCGAGCTCCTGATTACTATTAGCATGTGCCCTTATTAGCATGTGCACAAGTACATAAATATTTGTGTGCAGACCTAGAACAGGGAAAGGTAGTGGAGGGCAGGGAAGTTGTGATTGAGGTGAGGGTCCAGCAGACACACTCCATCAGTCATCCACTGATATGGACAGGAAATACTGAAATGCCTGTGAAAAATGTGTGGGCACTTGCATGTCTGTTTTGCACACAGAAAAAACAGATCTGAATACAGTGGTGCCTTGCAAGACGAAATTAATCCGTTCCGCGAGTGTCTTCATCTAGCGGTTTTTTCGTCTTGCGAAGCAACCCTATTAGCAGCTTAGCGGATTAGCGCTATTAGCGGTTTAGCGGCTATTAAAGGCTTATGAGCTTAGCGGTTTAGCTGCTAAAAGGCTATTAGCGGCTTAGCGGCTTAGAAAAAGGGGGGGGGGGAAGCGAAAAAAAATCTCAAGACTCGCAAGACATTTTCGTCTTGCGAAGCAAGCCCGTAGGGAAATTCGTCCTGCTAAGCAACTCAAAAACGGAAAACCCTTTCGTCTAGCGGGTTTTCCGTCTTGCGAGGCATTCGTCTTGCAGGGCACCACTGTAATCTGTAATATTAAACCCCCACCTGGAAGCATCCTTAATCTGCTACAGCAGGGTTCTTGAACACAATAGGACACTGAAGCAAAATAAAAAGATTCTTGTTGAAATAAATCACCTAGTCCAGCATCCTGTTCAGGCTACTACTTCCTTTTTACCAATCCCCTCATTTTGAGGAAGTTTTCTTTTTTGAAGTCAATTTTGACCATGTTGGATTTCCTTGGCAATTAGACATTCACATACCTATTTAATTCAGTAGCGCTAGACTTACTGTTCCCAGTTGTGTCAACAACATTTACAGATCGCACCAGGTCCTGGGCACCACTCGTAATATTAAGTCCTGGTTCGCCACTCCTCTGGTTGCTTCCATGACCAACTGTTCTAGGGCACGGTCATTTAGAATATCTGGAAATTTCATGTCTTTGTTGTGACTGGACCAATCTTTGTGAAGAACCCATTACAGTGATACCTCGGGTTACATACGCTTCAGGTTACATACTCCACTAACCCAGAAATAGTACCTCGGGTTAAGAACTTTGCTTCAGGATGAGAACAGAAATTGTGCTCTGGCGGCGCGGCAGCAGCAGGAGGCCCCATTAGCTAAAGTGGTGCTTCAGGTTAAGAACAGTTTCAGGTTAGGAATGGACCTCCGGAACGAATTAAGTACTTAACCCGAGGTACCACTGTACTGTACTGCAACATTTTCTCTTATGAGTGCTTCTTTGCTCTCATCCTTCATCTCAAAATCTCCTTGAATGTTTTGATCTGGGGGACGATAGCATGTCCTCCATATTATTCTTGGGGCTTGGTATCACCAACCCACAATGATTTTGTGGAGGATTCTGCCCCTTTTGCGATTTCTTGCTTGCTGGACTCAATGCCCTCTTTGACATTCTACCACACTAATGGAACTGTAGGGTTATCCTGGCAAATTTATTCATCCTGAGTACAGTAAAAAAAAAAAACAAAAAGCCAGAAAGGAGTAGATCAATCCATCTCTCTGCATGTTAGATACATTGTTGGCCTGAGATACTTATGACTAACTGCCCAGCATGTTTACTTATTCCACTGAGGTCTGTAGTACTTATTCTCAGGTAAGTATGTGTACCCACTCCTATATACTCTGCATGCAGTGCACTCCCACCACTGAGTACATATGATGTTAGCCACAACATCAATCCTGCTGTTTTTCACGGAATACTACATTTTGATGTAGTTTGGGGGAAAACACTTTTGATCTGTATTGAGATTTTTTTTGACCTGGCTGTGTTTTAAACCAGCCATGTGTACGCAGCTTGCGTTGGGAATTCTTCTTGAATGCTGTTGATACATTGGGCAATAAAGCTTTATTTAAGAACTTAAATAATAAGGAATGGGGGGGTAGCAATAATAAACAGACAAAAACTGTGCATTGAAACAGAAGTATTTAAGCTGGTGAAGACAATGGAAGTTTGCACAGCATTACACAGCAACACGATTGGGCAACACAATGTCAGTTGAAACACACTGCAGTTGAGATCTCATACAGATAACCAAAATGAGGAGGACTCTTTCCATTGTAGCCAGAAAATTGCTGAGTTCTGAACAAGCTGCAGGCAAGAAAATGGAAAGGATGTGGGCAGCAGTGTGGACAAAATATGTTCAGCTGACAAACATTGCAGAAAAGTAATCAGAGTTACTATTAGGGTATCGAGGAAGAAACCCAAATTCATATCTGCTGGATGATTCTACAAAGAACCTTATTTCACATCCAATATTAATGTTGGTTACTGTTTCAGAAGGTATAAGAAAAGCAGAATAGAGTCTGTAAGCAGAACAGGGTCTGTCATGTGTGGACCCAGGTTTGCAGTTTGTTTCCCCCAAAGAAACCAAGAGCGGCGAGCCAAGAACAAATCTTGGTTACAGCTCCCAGTTTGTCTGGAGTGAAACAAACCAGAGTTTGGACCTAATGCTACCATTCCCATCATCCTGAGCAAACTACAGTTC